GATATTTCAGGCCACGACCCTAAAGCCAGTCCTAAATGTGTGTGACCTAATGTGACCTAAAGCCAGTCCTTCGGTTTCTTATGCCCTCCAACGGGGCCTTTGATCGTCGGTTCTGGTGTGCCGCCCAGACCCCTCTTCTAGCCTCATCGAACACTTCCCTTGGTCGGGTTGTGGCCCTTGCGAGCACAGGACCCTCTGTAAGGCGCTGTGGGCCCCTGACAGATACAAAGCCCCAGACCAGTGCAAACCACTGCCCCTGGCTTTATCCCCGCAAGGGCACCGGCCTCGGTCGATGTAGGGGACTAGCGCCCCCTCGGGTCCCAGCTCCGGTAACGGGTGGACAGCGCAAGCTGTTCCTCTCAGGGCGTAACGACCCTGCCAGCACGCGAGCTCCTGCTCCAATATTTAGAAAAGATGTGCTATCAGACACTGTGGCGCACGGTGGTATGCTGTTGGCAATGCACCACAGTGTGCCTGCGCAGCAGCTGAGGCTGCAAACCTCGCTCCAAGCTGTTGCTGCACGTGTACATTTTAATAATCATCTTGTAACCCTGTGCTCGGTGTCTTTGCCGCCGGGGCTCAGTTTTCCATTGGTGCAGCTCAGACAGTTGATGGCAGAGCTCCCTCCGCCTTTGGTTATCTTGGGAGATTTTAACGCACACCTTACCGCTTGTGGTTGTGATGACAGCAGCGCACGGGGACGTTCTTTAGAGCAATTTATTCACAAGGGGCCGCTCTGTGTTTTGAATACGGCCGATCTCGGACGCATTTTACATTACCGGCAGGTCAGACGTCGATTTTGAACCTAAGCCTGGTGAGTCCGCAGCTCGCGGAGCTTTTTACGTGGACTATAGCCGACCGCTTCCCAGTGTGGTTGGAATGCTGTGACCGGGCGGTCCTCGGCCCTCGACCACGACGATGGAATCTCAAAAAAGCAGATTGGGGTGAGATTGAGTCTCAGCTAGAAACAGACTTTGGTGCACAGGCCGTGGATGGTGCAAACTACTCGATCGAACACTTCACGTCCGCGCTTTTACGTACAGCGAACGCAAGCATCCCAAATACATCTGAGGTTCCTCGTCGCACGCCGGTGCCGTGGTGGACCGAAGAGTGCCGAGCTGTTATCCGGGCACGTAGGCGGGTCTTTCGGGCCTTTGGCCACCACGCCACAACCGATAATTTAATCGCATTTAGGAAGGCGAGAGCTTTGGCCCCGCGCACCATCCGGGAGGCAAAGCACGTCTCCTGGCAAGAGTACGTGGGACGCCTAAATCGTTTCACCCATACGTCGCAAGTATGGTCGCAGATTAAGCGTGTCTCCGGCCAGCTTTCCGCGGTTCCTCTACCGGTTCTTGAGGTTGGTGGACAGGACATTTTACACCCCGCTGACGTCGCCAATGCTGACGAGATCGATCGTGCGCTTGCGGAACGGTATAGAGGCGGTAGCGTTGATCCCCAATTCCTGCGTGATAAGGCGCGTTGTTAGGCAAGTCCAGTGGACTTTTCCACCTCTGTGCACCTTGCCTACAACGAACCATTTACAATGGTGGAACTGAGGGCAGCTGTTAGCAGGCTTCGGAGCGTATCAGAGGGTCCTGACGAGATACATAACGACATGATTCGACATTTACCCATCCGCGTACTGGACGTTCTTTTAGCCAATTTTAATCGTCTGTGGGAACGAGGTGAATTTCCGAACATTTGGCGAGAAGCTGTTGTGGTGCCCCTTTTAAAGCCAGGTAAGGGCGGCAAAGATCCGCTTCACTGCAGGCCCATCTCTCTTACATCTTTACTGTGCGAGGAGAGACTCGTCAATGGTCGTCTTTCGTGGTTTTTAGAGAAACATGCCATTTTGACTGATTCTCAGTGTGGTTTTAGGAAACATCGTAGCACGCTGGACCATCTTCTTACCTTGGATGCTGTTGTTCGTGCTGCTTTTAAATAGCGTCGCCATGTGGAACCTGTCTTCTTTGACATAAAGGGCGCTTACGATACCACATGGCGACATGGTATACTTATGAAGGCTTTGAAGCACGGTATTCGTGGCAACATGAGCTATTCTTTACAGCACTTCTTAGCGGGACGTTTTTTCGTGTCCGTGTTGGTTATCAGGTTTTTGATCGTTTCTTACAACGGAGCGGTGTGCCACAAGGTGGCGTTTTAAGTGTCGCGCTTTTTGCGCTCATGATCAATGACGTCGGAGATGCATTGCCTCAGTCCATCGGTCACTCGTTGTTCGTCGACGATTTTGCAATCTGGTGCAGCGCTTCTCTGACCTCAGCTGTGGAGCGTCAGTTGCAACTAGCTGTAGCACGTCTGGAGAGGTGGGCCACGCTGAATGGTTTTCGTTTCTCCACATTCAAAACGGCGAGTGTGCACTTTTGTCGCCGTCGTGGTCGCTGCCAGGATGTAGCGATCCGACTGTATGGCGAAGCGATCCCATTTGAGCCCGTGGTCCGTTTCCTGGGCGTGCAATTGGATCGCCACCTTACTTACAAATACCATATAAAGGCGTTGCGAGCCAAGTGTTTTAAAACCCTGAATGTCCTGAAGTGCATTGCACGCACGTCATATAGTGCGGACAGGAAAACGCTCTTGCTCTTCTATCGCTCTTGTCAGATCGAAGCTCGACTATGCTTCTTTTGTTTATGACGGCGCTTGTGAGTCAGTAAAGCGCTCCTTAAACACGATACATCAAACTGCCTTACGCATCGCAGCAGGTGCATTCAGGACCTCTCTGACAGCGAGCCTCCTTGTTGAGGCCCACGGGCGCCCTTTGTCCACTAGGAGAAAGGTACTGGGCATGAGATGCACCTGTAAGTTGGCGCAGTTCCCCGATCACCCAACATGCAAGTGGGTCTTCTCGCGCAGAACAATACGAGTGTTTCTGACTGGGAGAGTACATCAGATTGCACCTTTCTGTGTAAGGATTTTCGTACTTTTGCAGGAGTGTGGTATTCGCACACGGCATGTGATTCGTTGGGAAATTCCCGAGACCTCTCCCTGGGAGCTCTATGTAGATGTCTCACTTTCCCATTTTGAGAAGAGGCAGGTGTCCCCCGGATGAGTTTCGGCTGAGGTCTTGGAGTTGATTGCGTCATACCCGGATCACAAGAAGACCTACACGGACTGTTCGAAAGCGGATGCCGGTGTTGGATGTGCTTTTGTTCAAGGTCCTGTTACACGGTCTTTTGCTTTGCCTGGTCACGCATCGGTCTTCACATCCGAGCTAAAAACCATTCTCGAAGCGCTACATTTAATAGAAGTTGACAGTGACGATCAACACCTAGTTTTATCGGACTCTCTTAGTAGCCTCATGGCACTGCAGGATTTGGATTCATCACATCCCATCGCTCAGAACATTTTAACTCTTCTTACCACACTGTCCCAACCCGGGAAGCAGGTGGTGTTCTGCTGGATGCCGAGTCACGTTGGCATATCGAGCAATGAAGTAGCTCATGCCGCGGCAAGGCGTGCCACACATGTATCTAGCATTCCTACTGTGCCAGTCCCAGTTAACGACCTATGTGCAGTAGTATCTGCATTCATGCTGAAGCAGCGGCAACCTAACTGGGACGGGTGTGCGGCCAACAAACTGAAAGAGATAAAGCCCCGGTTGGGACCATGAGCGTCCAGTTGTTGTAAGGTGAGGCGGGATGAAGTGACTCTATGCCGCCTGAGAATAGGACACACATGCGCAGCTCACCGATACCTGTTACATGGGGAAGACCAACCGCGATGTCCTGGCTGCGGGGATCATTACACCGTACAACATGTCCTAATAGATTGTGCCCACCTCGCATCGAAACGCATGCGCCATTTTGGGTCTGGGTCCGTGCGCCAAACGCTCTATGCTATGTTGGGAGACGAATCAAGTCTAGTAAATGACGGCCAATTTTTTTGTTGTTTTGAAGGCATACAATTCCATGTCATATATCAGGCGTAGCCTTACCTCCTCGCTTTTTTCACGCATCTGTTAAATAAAAGGTAGGTTACAGGCGCCATGTGACCAATGTAGTCGGTACGCCCAAAGCCCAAATCACCACCACCACGCCCCTGGCTTTATAGCTGATTGGAAAGTGGGCCCTCAGGCCCATACTGACACGGAACCCACTATGTGATACGGTGGTACCTGGCCGACATGTAGGTCCATATCGGCTCAGGGGTCCCCGATCGGTGCGAAGAGCCCTCTGGCTGTTTTCTGAGGGTCCGTCTTTGCAGGTCGAGAACCCTGAATAATACTCCGACCAGCCCTTCATGCCTTTAGACCCTCCAATCGGGCCCTTGATCGTCGAAACCGGTGGGCCTTCTAGGCTCTTTGGGCCACCTCGAACACTGCCTCAGGCCGGCTCAAGGTCTCTTGCCAACACAGGGCTCCTGTTAGGCGCTGTGAGGCCCCGGCTCTGCCTCTGCTTGAAAAATGGGCCTTTAGGCCCACGGCGCCACGGAGCCAACTGGGCGTTACTGGTGGTGTCTGACAGAAATGTAGGCCCGTATCAACGCAGTGAGCCGCTGATCGGCGTGCAGGGCTCTTTGGCTGGCGTTGGAATGCCCGGCCCTGCGGGCCGGTGATCCTGAATGAGACCTCTGGCTGACCTTTCGGGCCCTTCGGGCCCTCAAATCGGAGCCTAAGGGGAGGCATGCGCCCCTTGCCTGCCCTCTGTGAGCCGAGTGAGCCCCCCCCAAAAAGAGCTTCTTCCTCACCCGCCCTGCCCGCCCTCTGCACACTGGGGGATGCAGTCACGTTTAGCATCGTTTTGGCCCAAAGACCTCCGTTGCATCATTTGTTCGGGTTTCTGAAACAACTCTGTGGCATTTTTGCCTTCTCAGAGGTTGAAAAAACGTCATGCCCATGCCTTCATATTTGGTAGCATCTATCACTTTACACTGGCAGCATTGTGATTGAATCCCAGTCGGCTAGAACTCTCAGGTTTACCTTGAGATATTTCTTCAGGAAAAGTCGAGCGAATTGGAAGCAATTATTCGCTCGCTCGCTGGGTGTGAGTGGACGGCAGGGCGCGGACATATGTGAAGTATTGCGTTCGGGAGGGGGGCGATTGGGCACTGGAGCAAGCTCCTATTTATTAGCGCAGTGAAGGGCGCGCGTTCCATTTAGGTGAGTGAGTTGCAGTGAGATGTTAGTTAAGCGGGATGTCTCACAGTCCGTGTTGCGGGTCCTAGACCACAGGGGATTACGAGACCATTCCAGACCTTTTGTTTACTGCGCGAGAAGTTCTTACCAGGTTGGGAAAAGTTTAATGAAGACAACCTGCCTTATTAACGTCTCCCACCCCCAATTCCCTCCAGGCCTAGGGGCCACGCCTGAAAGCTAACCTAGCCTCAGATAGTGATGTGGGTCATAGGAAAGGCCAGCAACACTGCAGTGGTCAGCAAATGGAATGCCCTCCTTCATGTTGCGGTTGCCTCCATTATCTCAATATAGTTCAAATCCAGACTTGACTTGCACTGTGACTGGCCACACATAATGCAGAAAATTCCAAACCAGGTTTGGTGAAGTTTACCCTGTTGGGTCAGGGCATACTTTCCTACCTAACGTTAGAAAAAATCATTGTACACCATTCGTCTTGTTTAAGGCAGGACATATCGTAAATAATCACAAAACAGGTAGATTCATGCTCTTACCTTCAGATTTTTTAATAATTATGATAGCGAGCTGCAGAGCGCCGCACACACACAGCAGCTGCGACACCAGCGCCTCAATGGCCTTGCCCGCGCCATTACTGGGAGCTGTCACAACATTACTGGCATCAAGCAGCATCAAGAACCATAAAAATGTACCCAGCCAAGGTAAGAAGAATCCATGAAATTTGATCCTCGACGCCAACACCGGAGGATGGGTTGCAGGGGAATTGGGTGGGAAATGTTAAGCAAAATGAGAGCAGGGCGGCTAAATAGAAGCTCACTATATGGCACCTATATATGACATGGAACATGGATGCCATTGGGGCACTGGGTTGAAGGGGATATCAGGTGGGGAGGTTAGGTTAGGTTAGGTTAGGTTAGGTTAGGTTAGGTTAGGTTAGGTTAGGTTAGGTTAGGTTAGGTTAGGTTAGGTTAGGTTAGTTAGGTTAGGTTAGGTTAGGGTTAGGTTAGGTAGGTTAGGCTAGTAAGGAGGTTAGGTTAGGTTAGGTTAGGTTAGTTAGGTTAGGTTAGGTTAGGTTAGGTTAGGTTAGGTTAGGTTAGGTTAGGTTAGGTTAGGTTAGGTTAGGTTAGATTATAGTAGGTTAGGTTAGGCTAGTTTAGGATGTGTGCTGGACTACCCTGGCCTGTGTGTTTCATAAGCGTACCTAAACGCGATAAGAAGCGATTTTCACTGCTTGATGATTGTTGCCCTGGTCCTGTACATTTTTTGTGGTTCTTGATAAGCAGAAATATCGCACTTCGCATCAACACAGAAACGGCGTTTGGGAGTCGAGGCGGTGCGGTGCGGTGCGTGCGGCGCTCGGGAGTTCGCTGTCGTGTTTATTAAAATTCGAAGGTAGGAGCATGATTCTACCCGTTGTGAGATTATTTACGATATGTTCCGCTATAAACACAACGACTGATTTACCTTGGTCCCATACATTTTGAATAGTTCTCGATAAGCAGAAATATTTTGTTTACGCAACGGCAGCGCAGAAACGACGCTGGGGAGTCCGGGCGGTGCGGTGTGTGGGGCGCTCGGGAGCTCGCCATCGTAGTTATTGAAATTCGAAGGTAGGAGCGTGATTCTACGTGTTTTGAGATTATTTACGATAGACGAATAGTGTGCTATGATTTTTCTAACGTTAGGTAGGAAAGTACACCTACACCGTGATATCAGTGGCGACGTCCCAGCAGCAAGTTCAGTGTATGTATGTGACGTATCTAAGTGATTAGGGTTAATTTGAAATGTATACACAATTGGAAGCAAAATATACTCATGATACATGTGCAATGAAGCAAATTATTGACTATTGCTGTCATAGGTTTGTGTTCTCTAAAAATATTAGACAGATATCACTGCATTGCCATTTACAACTGGCATTACACAAATACCACCCTAAAACAGATGCAGATGCATCAAATAAGGTCATGCTACATTGCTTAATGTATGGAATGCACATCTCCTACTTCGCTCTCCAGGTTGTATTTTAGGCATTTTGTTAGGAACCACATTTTTCATGTTTTAGAAAAATTTAGTCCATTGTTTTAATATGATGCATTTTTTTGGATCACCGACACTGGGAAGTGCTTGTTGCATAAAGACAAAGTCCTCTGGCCAGTAAGAGCCGCAGGGACCACCAAGTACGGCCTACCACAGGCTTCACACGCACCCTCAAAAATAATTTCACTACTGGCCCAGCCTGAATTTAGCTCTAAATGGGATCTTTAGACCAATAGAGCTTGTTCAGACTGTTTTTAAATGATACCAGTGAGGGACTTCCACAACTTGTTAGACAGTCAGTTCTGATGATTCACTGCTTGTTGACTAAGTGACATCTGCCCCTGTATATCTTCTCTCCTACCTCTTGCTAAATGCAGCTAGTTTCCTCTAAACCTCTGCCTAACTTTCAGTGCTGCATGTAGATCTAGGGTGCCTATCTGTTTCATAATCTTAAATACCTCTTTGAGATGCCCTCTAAATTCATGATGCTGTAGGGAATATAAACCCTGAGGGTCTAAGCCTTTCCTCATTCTAAGTTGTCAATCCTATTTCTCATCCTAGTTGCTTTTTGCTGCTCTCTTTCCAGCCTATATATTTTTGGAAACATGGAGACCAATCCTGTACACAATACTCTAGGTGTGGTCTGACATAAGCAAAGTACAACTTATTGACAGCATTCCTACTCCTGCAATGGACATTCCCATAAAAAGTCCCAGCATTCAAAGCTCTTGCTCCTAGCAGCCCCACATGGCTTTTCAGCATTTAAATCCCTGGAAATGAAAATCCACATGTCCTTTTCATCCTTGATCTGGTCTAAGCAACATTTAAACTATTACCTTCATCTATCTGACTAGTAACATGCCCCATAAATGAAAAGATTTGCCGAACAGGACCTACCAGAAGTAAAACCACACTAACTACCAGTTATCAGCTTATGCCCATCTAAGTGTGACTAAATGCTAGCCTTGATGCATTTTTCTGGGATCTTACATAAGAGTGAATTAATGCTCACACTTCTGTAGTTGCTGACACTTTTTTGGTCCCCTTCTTAAATATCAGTACTACATTGGCATTGCACCAGTCCCCAGATACTCATGAAAGAATCAATGACCTATTGAATATTAATGGGGGTGCCATAGTGTAGTGGTTAACGCGTCTGCGATAGCCACTGCATGTATGGGAGACCAGAGGTACAGGGTTTGATTCCCCATGGTGCCCGCCCTTCCTGCCAGGGCGAGAAGCAGGCCACGCCATATAGCCTCAGCAGCTGAGTGCATCATAAAGCCCCAATGACATGGCATGACATATTAAATATTAACATAAAAGGACGAGCTTAAGTACCAGCATTCATTCAGCACTCTACCATATATCTGGTCAGGTCCGGCTGGTTTATTAACCTTGATTTCCTTTAAACTATCCTTACCATACCCCCAGCCACCATACAATCTACAAGACTGGCCTCATTAATTTGTAGATGTTTCAGCACTTGTGGGATGCAAGGCATGGCAGGTATTAAAAGGGAATTAAGATGACCTTACAATAATTATACACATGACATGTGTTAACTAAGTTGTATTTTTATGAGTTTTTGGTCCCAGCCTTTGGTCACAGAGTCAAATATTCAAATATAAGGTGGTCACCACATGCCAGCCAGCATTGAGTGCAGCTTTTTCCCCAGCATACACATGGTAAGATGGCACACATTTCCTGCACTTTGGCCAAACAAGATTACAATAAATCAAATATGACAGAGTACATTAGCTGTGTACAGGGAAAAGCTAGGATCTGTGGGATGAGTATTTGTATTTAGTGGGGGTTGCAGTTTGCATATGTGGATTGGTCTCCAAATTTTGTGATGGGGTGGTCTTTGTTTTCTGCAAAATTTGAACAGCCAATGGGTCCTCCTAATGCCAAATCTCATAGTTTCATTGTGCAGAAAGAACATGATTGCCGATGGGAGTCTCAAGAGTTTTGTCGTTGCTTCTAAGATGTGCCTGTAGACCATGGCCAAATGGGTCTTTTTGGTGCACCAACATACAATATGCTTTCACCCCTGCCCTCACATGTCAAACATATTACACAGAACACTACATGATACATCAAACATGTACCTTTTAAACCGGACGTACACAGATTACAAATTCTATTGCCAGAGGGACAAAGAGGTGAGAAAGCTGACTGAACTAGATTGTGGTTCAAAGTATGTTGGTTTTGTCGTGCCAAATGAATATTGATATTGTATTTTTTGACAACTGATTTCATCTTTGCATACAAAGCTTCATCAACATCTGGTACTGTAAGATAGCCACGCAGGCCTTGATCCTGTCGATGTCGATCATGCGCTTGCCAATGTTGACGATGCTCTTGTTGATGATGACGTTCCTGCTGGTTTTGTTTATCGTAGCATTGTTTTTCCAGTCGATGTGGTGCGGCTTCTCGGTGAAGGCGACGCAGAAGCTGTTTCCATTAGCCTATTTTCTTCAAACAGATTTGGTATTTTTTGACATGGGTAGTCATTTGCAGCAATATTTGAATGTATTTGACGACACGTTAAAGTTCTGAACAAATGACAACCTTTTTTGTCGACATAGGATGGGCTGTATCATGGATGATGACCCCGGGATGGTTAGGCTCGATGAAGAGTTCTGTTGAAAATTTGAAGTTTTGACGGACCGTCACGGGTGTATCCAGAAATACAAGCCATCTGGACGTATGTGTGTCTTCTAAGGTAAACTTGAAGCTGTTATGGAGAGAATTTAGGTATTTGATAAAGTCCAGCAGCCCATCGTGAGAGCGAGTCCAGACCCCCATGGAATCGTCGATGTATCTGACGTAAAACCAGGTTTTAGGCCTGCATTATTAGTGGCAGGTTGTTGAAATTTGTGCATAAAGATTATTGCAACAGGAGGTGCCACCTATTTGCCCATGGCAATGCCGAGTTGCTGTTGGTGGTGGTCATTGTCAGATCTGAAGGTGCTATTTTAGAGACTGTGTAAGTTGTTCTGTGATGTCCACAGGTGTGAGACCACCAAGTGCAGTATCATTCTTGTGTTGACAAATGAGGTCGGTGACCGCCGATACAGCCTCCATTAGTGGGATGCTGCCATGTAGGTTGACAACATCGATGCTGAAAACTGGCGTTCCGTGAAAGCTGATGTGTAAGGAACTGATTGATTTGAGCCTTGTCAGGTATTCGTCTGTGTTTCTGAGATGAGCCGGATGTAGGTAAGAAGCTGATTTAAGATCCTATCTAAGCACCAAGGCGTCCTTTCAGTCGGAACACAACAAGCAGGCACAATAGGGGTACCTACCTAGGGGTAGGGGTAGGGGTAAATGGCCGGAGGGGTACCACTGCTTTGTGGTCATTTGGTTGCCCATAGAGAACTGTTGTTCTAGAGTTGGTGGGTAGAAGGCCCTTCACAAATGAATCTGTAAGCTTATTTTTTGGGGTGTTTAAAAATGTGTTTGGTTTTTGCTGCAGTCTTTGGTGTTGGATTCTTGGGCAGTTTGTGGTAGCTATTTTCATCTTGCAGTATGTTGTTAACCTTGTCAACGTACGTTGTTTAATCCAAGATAACCAACCCCACGCGTTTATTCTTCGATTTCACAATTATGCATTTATCAGTTATCAATGATATCTTCATTTATGATATAAATGATATCAATTATTTATCGTCAGCAACTTCAAAGCTTTCCGTTCCTTTTCCTTAGTGTTTGGCTTTGTTTTAAGATGGCTTTTGTAAACGTTAAGCACTCGTTTCAGTGGCCTAAGCTGTTCTTCAGTTCGGCCCAAAGCCGTTGGAGGCCTTTTTCACTAAGTCTGCAAAATTTGGCCGAAATCTGCTCTCCTTAATCTGGGCTGTATGGTGTTGTTCTGTTAGACCAGTAGCAGTATGTGGAAGTTAGCTATCTTCTAGACGTTCTCCCCTACGGTTGTCAGGTGGAGGAAGCGCGAGTAGGGTGTTTTAGGGGTTAGGCGTGGTTAAGTTACATTGAGAGAAGTCTCTTCTTTTTTACCATAAACTAAACGCTTCACCCTTGCTTTCGATTCTTGCAGAGTTGCATCAATAATGATGTTTGTCCTGGCAAATTTTGGGCCTTTTGGGAGTAAGTTGACGACACTAGGCGACAGGGACACGGCTGATAGATTGGTGGCGCGTTTGGTTGCTCTCGTACTTGTATGATCACTGTTAGTCGGTTGACTTGCTGGGTTTCTTGTCTCTTCGTGGCCTTCTTGTCCATTGCGAGGAGAAAAGCTTGATAATTGTCCTACATCATCATCGGTAAAATTGTCTTGTTCATCATGGATCTGGATGCTGGCTGCATTGTGCTGAAGGCATTGAACTTGTATTCCAGCCGCTGCTTGTGATTCTCCATAGTCACTTCAAAATCTGCCTGCACGAACTTTTCATCCAAAGAAAACTATCATCCATCTATCGCAATTCAAATTCATGCCTCGGCTGGCAACGTTCCAAATGTGTTTTCTCGCAAAGGGCGTCTCTAATCGATTCGTTAAGAGGCTTGGCACGAAACGCTGTACATTCCTTATGAAATCGCTTTACTTCCATCGAATATCTTGCCGTCCGAAACTGTGACGTCGTTTACAAAATGTGGAATAACATCTGCTTTTCTGCACGATAACAAAACTATTCTCAGATTAGCACTGTTGAGCTTCATCGATGTCTTCAAAATGCTAACAAGCATTTCACGGCGGTCACTCTTTGATTCAATTTTTTGGATGGTACAGTGCTTGTGCGATGTAGGACATGGCAAGTGTTAGAAGGGAACTGAGATGACCTTACAGTAGTTATATACATGGTATTCTTTAAGTAAGTTGTGTTTTTGATGAACTTGCGACCGCGGACCTTGCTCACAGAGTCAAACATTCGAATATAAGGCGACCACCAGATGCCAGCCAGCGTTGACCACGGTTTTGTCCCCAGCATACACATGCTTTATATATATATATATATATATATATATATATATATATATATATATATATATAGCGTGAGATGCACGCATGCAAGCGTGCATGCGTGCATCTTAAAATACCAAATCTTTGTTGACTTTGATTCCCTAAAGACCTTGCATATTTATTTCCCCTAACAGCCTAAAGGAAATGTAGGGTTTGAGCAATGCCCGAACATTTTGCTTTCAAAGACATATCATTACTCCTTTCACTTTATTCCGTGTTGTACACGCAGACTTTCCTGTAGTGCCTGAAAATGTGTAACAAATATCCAGCTGCTCAGCTGTGTAGGACATGATGAGCAAACTATATCTACTGTCCTATTTTCCTATGATGTTTGCAACTGCCAGGATGCTGGTGGGGTTTATTGCACCACAGCACAGATTGCACAGATCTCAGTTCGTCCCACTCAGTGTTGTGTATTGCAGAAGCTTTGCCGGGCCTCTGTCTCGGTTTTGGATTGTTGGTCAACCATCCTATAGCCTCCTTCAGCACTTAATCTTATTGTGATCTGTTCTAACACTTGGTTATATCACACCAAATGCTGGCTAAACAGTCACAGTGATCGAAATGCCAGTAAAGCACTGAGCCCAGCCTCGGGCTCCAGGAGCACCCACATTTGGACGTATCGCTAGTGAGACGCGTGACTGCCGCCGCCGCTCGCCCGTCCCCGAGTGGCCGAAAATGACCATAGCAGCCGGCGTTTCCTAAAATTCCAATTATCGTCATCGACATCCTCATCATCAGCGTCAGCATCTCCGAGTGTGACGCGACCGCCGCGGCGTTCGAGGCTCGACTTCTGTTGCGTGCTGGCGGTGTGGTCCGGGCGTTAGAGGCAGTGCTGCGCCCAGCGAAGGCCGTATGTGCTGCCGGACGGCCGCTTTGGGTTGGCCGAGCGCCGTTTGTCGGAGGCGTGCGGATCATCCGCGGCGAGCGTGCGTGGCGCGCGTGCCGGCCCTCCAGTGAGACGCTGTGGTGCGTGTGCCGGCAGCCATGTCGCAGCCGTCGGCGGGCGCGGCGCTCTCGGACGTGCTGGCGCAGCTGGAGGAGCAGCAGCCGACGCTGCCGGACGCCGTGACGGCCCACTATCTGGCCGAGGCCGGCCTGGACACGGACGACCCGCGGCTCGTCCGGCTCATCGCCATCGCCGCGCAGAAGTTCGTCTCGGACGTGGCCAACGACGCGCTGCAGCTGTACAAGATGCGCCAAGGCCAGCCTGCCCTCCAAGGTGAAGTCCAAGGACAAGAAGTACGTGCTGACGCTGGAGGACTTGACCCAGGCGCTCGGCGACCACGGCATGCAAGTGAAGAAGCCGGCTTACTTTGTGTGAGCGGTGCCGCCCTGGCCCAGAAGATTGCGCGGAGGGCTGGGGGACGATTGATGTGGGGTCTCAGCTTGTGCCGAGCAGTTTGAGAGGACAGTGGTCTGCAGTCCTCAACCCATGTGGCGTGCGTGGCGAGGAATACACGCTTGTCAGCAGGCTTTCTTTGGTGACGAGTCTTCCGTCTAAGCTTGACGTCGTGTGCGTGCACGCAGCGCTGTTTCTGCACATACCGTAACTGTAATTGCCACCACTATTTTCCTGACATTGCGTGCGTTTGGTTGAGTTCAAACTTGTCCCTGATGCATGCAAAGAGGGCGTGGGCCTGCTTTTAATTGTATCAGTCTGTTTATCACTCGCCATGGTTTTTGGTAATAAAAGAGTCTGCCAGCAGACGACTGGCGAAGTTGTTTACGGGAGACCGAAAGATGGCGACAGGCCGCCGGTGACGTGGGCCCATCGGCGACGTTTGAGTGGCGTCTCATAGCCTCGGCCGGAGCGATCCATCACCCGCTGCCAAATGGTGCGCCTGAGGGGAAGCTGCGCTGTGGCCAGCCCCTGATCTGGCGGCTTGCGGCTGGGGACGTCGGCGTGGTGACGTGCCATGGGCCAGACTGACCGCCTCAGCGGCTCCATACTGCGTGCCCGGTTGGGGCGTGGGCTTGGATACATGTTGTGTACGAACTATGTGTGGCCTGGCTGACGGGCTGCCCGCTGATTCGGAAGCCACAGCCTCGTCGGTACCTGATCCATGGCTGGTAACTTCTATAAAATATCGATGTTTGACTTCCAGTGGCCAAAGGTTGGGGTACATGCATGACTTCCGCTTGACTTTTGCTATCTTTTTAAGTTCAGTGTGTGTTCAGTGTGCACTGCACTGGTTAAACTATCGTCAATGTCGCACAGCGCCTCTGAGAAAGATAAATGATTCATTTGAATCCGAGTTGTATGTGGTAGTTACCATGTAGTTACCGTGAGTGTTACGGCGTATTTGAGATTAGCAGAGGGCAAATCGGGATGGGGAGGGGGGGGGGGGGGGGGGCGAGTGGGGCGGGTTATACAGCTGGAATCTGACGGAACAGCCTGACGTGAAAGTATGTTCATCATTGGAAAACGTCAGACGCGTGCATTTTACGGGTGAAATCAGCTGCGGCCCAACCGCATTTTTGGAACCACCTCGCCTAGTGGTTACACCCATGGACAGGTACTCGGGATTTCATGAATCGCTTTGAAAGGCTGACATTTCGAACCGAACTACGTCTGCTTGATCTATCACTCGAACAATTAGGGCTCACTGCACCTGCTGATCGTCGCGACTGATCGACATGTCTACTGCAGACTGTCGGCTGGCATCGCTTCCAGACTCGATCCTGAGCCATCCATGTGAGCGTGCATCAAACGACGCCTGTTTCCGTATCCCGCTGCGCCACGAAACGACAAGGCCGCCACCTCACTTCACTCCCCGGCGCTGCCACCCACGCAGCCTGCCCCCCCCCCCCTCCGCGCTCCCCCGCCCCCGGGCGCCTGGCCGGCGACGCCACTGGCCGTCGGTCTGGCCCGTGACGCTGCGTCGGCGCCGGCTGGCCAGGTGCGCCGGCCGCGGCTATAAATACGGCGCGCCGTCGGCGGCGGCGGCCGACTCTGACGGCGCCGTCCGCGCCGCAGGGCTCCGGTCGACGGCGGAGGCAGCGCAGCCATGGCCGCCGAGGCGCCGCAGCTCGTGCGTGCGCTCTACACCTTCCGAGCCACCAACACGACGAGCTGACCTTCAAGAAGGGCGACGTGATCACTGTGACGCAGCGCGACGACGACGACGACTGGTGGGAGGGAACGCTGGACCACACCACCGGCTGGTTCCCCTCCAACTACGTCAAGGAATGCTCCGCCGCAGGTGAGTGCTGCGACCGCGGCTTGACGTGACCTAACCTGCGACACCCTGCCTTTTCACGTGGCGTCCAATTTCTCCCCGGACTTGTCGATTTCCCTTTCAAAGTGAGTCAGAGGGAGGGGGACAAAGTTGAGGGGAAGGGGAGGCGGAGCCTCTCAACCCGAATACGCAACTTTATCAGTAAGCATGTCATAAGGTGTTCTTTTTCGTACAGGTTACGCTCCGTTTCACACAAATGCCTCGCCCTATTCCCTTCAAGGGGCTGTTGCCGTGTGACGAATGGCTTCATGTACGCTGAGAAGTCCAGTGGTACCCGCTGCGCAGGGACAGGGGTGTTCAGGGGCAGGGGAACCCGCTGCGCAAAGGCAAACGTGTTCACGGGCAAGGGCACCCGTTGCGCAGGGGCAGGCATGTTCAGGGGCAGGAGTACCCGCTGCGCAGGACAGACGTGTCCACGGATAAGGGCACCCGCCGCGCAGGGGCAGGAGTACCCGCTGCGGAGGACAGACGTGTTCTGCCAACATTTACGTCCTGCCAACGACAACAAGACGAGAAGTATGGTTACGGTGTTGGGAATCGTGTCTTATGCGTCGCTAGGTTTGTTCGTTTGAGGTTGGGGTGAACGGGGCCGTTTCTGTGCCTTCAAAATGATGGGACCAGAAGCCTTTGGTGGCGGCTGCGGGGTAGGTGGGCCGGAACTGTCGTATATCTGGGACTGCTTGGACTTGAACCTTTTCAGTTTCAGAAGTTTTCACGGAGGCTTGGAGACCGTGGACTAGAGCTATTAATGCGTCTCTTGCCGTGGACGGTTGCTCCACCTGTACACTTTGTCGAGTATTGGGAGAGAATATGGAGATGTTTTTTCTTTCAGCATGTATACTGAACATTATGATGCACATGTGCTATGAGCATTCAGGCCGAAGCAAATAGGTATGTGTCGTTCACAAGCACGGGTGGTTGAATAATGAGCCGTTACCAAGCTAATAAAGGCCCCTCCGGCTCCATCTCGGGTTGATTCATCGCACCGTCTGGTGGCCAGTGGCGCGGGGCCGTAGCTCGGATCCAGCGCTGACGACGCCAGCGGCTGGCGGGCCCCGTCCGGTACGGGGCTTCTCCGTGTCGGCGGCCGCTCGCCCGCCTGGTGACGGCGGAGGACCGAGTGCCTACCGTCGGCTCCGTTCCCTTCCCAGATTTGCAGCGCGTGACATTGCTCGGGTTATCGTGCAGCGACTCTGGCACGCTGTTCATGCCGTTGCCCATGGTCAACGGCCCCGTGCAGACCGTGTAACTTGACCTTGTTCACATGATTACCCGCGGCGTGTCCAGGCCGTCTCCCTGTTGAGACCATTTGCATTCCTTCCCACTACTGCCCAAGTTATTCGTCTGTGACACTGTTTGATACGCTCACCCATCTGACCCCTGACCCGTCCCCTATGACCCCAGCGGATCTCAACTGACCTCTGATCTGTACCCTGCGACCCTAGCCTGTCACTTGCGACTCCATCTGACCACCGACCAACTGACCGTCCCCGCGACCCCCAGCTGACCTCTAACCCGTCCCCTGCGACCACCAGCTGACCTCTGACGTGTCCCCCACGACCCCACTTGGCCTCTAGCCCGTTCCTCGCGACCCAGCTGACCTCTAACCCTCCTCCCACGATCCCGGCTGACCTCTGATCTGTTCCCCGCGACTTAGCTGACTGCTGACCCGTCCGCAGACACGCAGGTGGCCGCCGCGCCGACCGAGCTCGTCAGCCAGCAGCGCGTCTACCGCTCCATGGTGCTTAAAGACATCATCGACTCGGAGCGGGCGCACATCGGCGAGCTGCAGACCCTGGTCAAGAACTTCCTGCACCCGCTGAGCAGGGCCGATCTGTGAGTGGTGGAGGGACGTGTCCTACCCGGCCGCGAGGCATCAGCTTGGTGCGTGCGTGCGTGCGTGCGCACGTGAGGACGGCGGTGCCAGTGCCCTCCCTCTCCGCGGGTTGTAGTTGGGCGTCTAGGGCCCCAGCGCGGTGCCAGTGCCCTCCCTCTCCGCGGGTTGTAGTTGGGTGTCTAGGGCCCCAGTCTAGGGCCCCCGTCTAGGGCCCCCGTCTAGGGCCCCCGTCTAGGGCCCCCGTCTAGGGCCCCCGTCTAGGGCCCCAGCAATAGCGGAACGGCCGCCAAGGCGGAACGCGAGCCCTCGCAGATCCCGGGTCGGCGTGTTCTCGTGACGCGTGACGCGGGCCGGCCGTGACGGTCGTCCGCCCGTCTGACCTAGGTGGCCGCGGTCGAACTGGCGCTGCCCCGTCAGCGCGCTCAGTCGCGCGCGGGTCGCGCCGCCAGCCATCCGTGCCCCCCTCCGAGCCAAATCTCCTCCGCCACGGCTCGCCTGGTTTCGGGTGACCCGGGCGTCGTTTGTCATCGGTGGCAGCGGCGGCGCTGCCCGGCGCAGCCTGCTCAGCTGCCGGTCACCAGATCACCGCCTGGCCCGCCCAGTTCTGCTCCGGACAGGGGCCGCGGCGACGACTGGCCGCTCTCTGACCTTTATCCCGGTCTGGCACCCACGCCGGCTCTCTGGCGTTGACATTTTACGATATGGCATTAGCCGTTGTTTTGTCTCAGAACGGCAGCTTTTATTTTTCGAAAATTATGCTTGCCCACGGCTAGTCTGGTTCTTCGGTTCGAATTCAAATTCGAAACTCGAATAATTTCTGTTGTGTCGAAAGTTACGCATGTTTGGGAGTGTGCTAAGAGATTAAAGGACAGTGATTTCAAATCATTTTGGGTTTTCGGTGCGTAAGCAAGGGATTATAGAAATGGATATTAACATCGGTTTGAATGCTTGAAACAAAGCGTTTAGCGCTCTGTCACTATCTTCTTACACACTTTTGATGACCATGACATCTAGCTAGTGTGTCACTTAGCCGCCGGGTAATGACTTTGTTTAGAATGGGAAGGGGGGGGGGGGGGGCAGCAATGCCGAAAATGAAAATGTATCCAGCTTGGTCGAGACGGGTCAGACGAATGTTGTCAGCTCGACTGGCTCGATGGTGCGTGCATACAAATGTGATGTAACCTCATTTAACCTCTGTGTAAGCCCATTTCACCCCCACTTTAATCATTTGATGACTGTTTGACATCACTGACACACTTGTCTGTAATATGATTGAAAAGTCTTACACACCGCGGAAACTCACGGTAAGGTGAATAGTCGTCATTGTCCCCCCCCCCCCCCATTCATCAACTATAGCTTCCTTAGTCAGTAGCCACAGGCTTTCGTCGATCTGGAGAAGCCGGAATACTAGCTAAGGGAATTCGTCCGCCAGATCCAACCATTTTGTGCCTCAGTTGAAGAACATCCTCAAATTCATTGGCATCCTCATCCTCAAAGCAGCATCAAATTCATCCTCACCCTCAAATTCATTTGCCACTAGCACAGACAACAGTGTCGAAGCCACGACTCCTTTTCATTATCGATGACGTCACCCCGAAATCAGACGGAACACGGCCGTCCCGTGCCTCAACCAGACGAGGCGGCGAGTCCTGACGCCGACTCTGCTCCCACCTTGGGCGTGTTAATCATCCGGTAGTGCAGCAGGTTCTAGTACGGCTTTTGCTCATTCCTTGGGCCGTCATATATATATATATATATATATATATATATATATATATATATATATATATATATATATATATTATCGCGCACGATTGAGGATGTCGCTCCGATATTACGGAAGGCCATGAACAAAGAGTTCGGATGTCGGATAGTGCACGACATGCTCGTGGTCTGGTGAGAGACCTCCAGCCGTGTCACTCGTGCCTCGGAGCGGGGACACCTGGAGCTGCCTGGAAAGTGTTCCTTTCGGCGAGCCTTCCGGCAACGTGCTGCAGTCGCGTGGAACAGTCTGCCAAATACAATCGTTAGGTACAGTTCAATATCCACTTTTAAGGGCGGTCTTAGAAGCACAGGAGTTTAACCTAGGCTACATGCTTGCGTGTCCTGTGATCTATATATATATATATATATATATATATATATATATATATATATCTATATATCTATATATACAGATATATATATATATATATATATATATATATATATATATATATATATATATATATATATATATATATATATATATATATATATATACATTTGTCGATTCCTTTATGGGATGGATATTTTCTATGAAGGTCTGTTCGGTACCTGTATTAGGACTTTGCCTGCGCACGGTTCAGCCCAGTGACGGCTGCAACCGGCCTCACCTATCCTATCACACAGCCGATCCTTGGAAGTGGCTCGCTACGGGGACCTTTCCCACGCGTGTGGCGTCGCCGCCGGCCGCCTCCGCGCCATTCCTCACGTGGGCGCCGATCGACCCCGGCCCGTCCGGACAGGCCACCCGCTGGTGGCGGCCCGCTGTCACCTCTGCGGCGCGACACGGCTGAGGCCTGGGGCCTGAGCGTTTTGCGCAGTGGGCGATTTGCTCGGATGTTCGGCGTGTTTGCGTTTGTAGTTATTCGCGTGGTTATGTGTCAGTAATATTTTCGTCCCCATGCCGCGTCCGCTCGATGACAGCTCATCTCCTCTGCTCTTCTTCCCTGCATTCATCTGGATGTGTTTTGCTGTCCTTTGTGCCGACCACTCATGATTGCCAATGTCTGTCTGACCTCATGGGTCTAACTTTTTATGCGTGTGCTTGCCCCCGGGTAGCGCAGACGGACGCCACTCGTCTGTGCTAGGACTATTGGTCGACAGTGCCGCTCGTCGGACTATTCGCCTCTGTATTGTTCCCATTTCCCCACGTATGTTTAGCTGTTTCTATATGTATTTATATGTATTTCTCTCGCTCTCGCCCTCGCTGTCACTCTCTCTCGCTGCCGCTGCCGTTGTCGCTGCCGCTGTCGCTGTCGCTGCCGCTGCCGCTGCCGCTGCCGCTGCCGCTGCCGCTGCCGCTGCCGCTGCCGCTGCCGCTGCCGCTGCCGCTGCCGCTGCCGCTGCCGCTGCCGCTGCCGCTGCGCTGCCGCTGCCGCTGCCGCTGCCGCTGCCGCTGCCACTGCCGCTGCCGCTGCCGCTGCCGCTGCCTCTGCCTCTGCCTCTGCCTCTGCCTCTGCCTCTGCCTCTGCCTCTGCCTCTGCCTCTGCCTCTGCCTCTGCCTCTGCCTCTGCCTCTGCCTCTGCCTCTGCCTCTGCCTCTGCCTCTGCCTCTGCCTCTGCCTCTGCCTCTGCCTCTGCCTTCTGCCTCTGCCTCTGCCTCTGCTTCTGCCTTCTGCCTCTGCCTCTGCCTCTGCCTCTGCCTCTGCCTCTGCCTCTGCCTCTGCCTCTGCCTCTGCCTCTGCCTCTGCCTCTGCCTCTGCCTCTGCCTCTGCCTCTGCCTCTGCTCTCTTGCCTCTGCTCTGCCTCTCTCTCTCTCTCTCTCTCTCCCCTCTCTCTCTCTCTCTCTCTCTCTCTCTCTCTCCTCTCTCTCTCTCTCTCTCTCTCTCCTCTCTCTCTCTCTCTCTCTCTCTCTCTTTCCTCTCTCTCTCCCTCTCTATTCCTCTCTTTCTTTCTTTCTTTCTCTCTCTCCCCCTCTCTTTCTCTTTCTTTCTTTTTTTCTTCTCTCTCTCTCGTCGTTGTCGTGCGTTGCTCGAGCAACGAGGCGGTTACGACCGGCGCGATCAGCTAATATTGAATACTGTGCCCGGTAGAGCGCGAGGCTCGCCATTTCTGCCCCGGTCCCCGCGGCCCAGGGCGGCGCGACGGCCTACCCAGCCGGGCGTCGGGTCCGCAGCGAGTGCGTGACTGCCAGAGGGCGTCCAGGCGGCCCGAGCTCCGATCGATAGGTTACTCCCGTTCGAGCGTCGATTATTGTCCGTGGGTGGTTTAGTGCGGCGTCTCGTCGGACCAAGGCAGAGGCGCGTCGCGATGTGGGGCGTAGTGATGCGGGCCGGTTTGCCATTGAACACTGACAGCGAGCACCAGGTCAACCCATTTCCATCTAGCGCCACGCGGAGTGGTGGAATCGCCGAGGAGTCCGAGCATGGCCCGGCCCGCCGGAAATGGCCGGGTCTTTTGATCATGTGACGACCAGCGCCGGGCGATCGGACCCCTGAGATCCGGGAGGTCTCAGCCGCGGACGTGCTTGGCACTTCTCGATGTTTTTACTGAAAACAGGAGACGGCGGCGGAAGCCGAGTGAGGGTTCGCTCAGCGCGGCGCTCGAGTGTCCGTTGGTGCTCGGATCTCCGGGGATGTCGGCCCAGGAGCAGGTGTCCTGTGTCCCAGTCGCCGCTCTCGCCGGTCACCGCGTCCTGCTTTTGCGACGCGAGGAGGGAGGGGAGAGAGGGTCCGCGCGAGGAGGGAGGGGGGGGGGGCGGACCCAGGAGCCCACTGGCGGCGGTCGGGTCGGTCTCGGCTGGGCCGGCGCCAGGGGGGCGACCGTCCGAGCGCGCACCGGTATGGGCGATCGGCCGTGGTGCTGCACGTGACGGCACGAACTCAGGGCTGTCCTCGGCGCCGGGCGGAGCCTGGGCCCGTTTTGACGGGAGGCCACCTCACGAGACGATCGTCCCGACCCCAGCCTCGGCCCAGGCACGTACTCGCCGGCTGAGGCCCGCAGGACGGACCGCCGCCACGTAACGGCCGCCGCCGCGCCCGGCAGGCTCTCGGTGGCCGAGTACCGGCAGCTGACGGGCAATCTGGAGGAGGTGATCGCCGAGCACAGCCGTCTTCTGACCGAGCTGGAGCAGCAGCACACGGCGCAGGACCGGCCGCAGCGCGCCGGAAACGTCTTCCTCAGCCGCGCGCCCGAACTCAAGCGCGTGCACACTCAATACTGCGCCAACCACCCACGTGCCGTGTGCGTGCTCGACAAGTTCAAGTGAGTTGCCAGCCGCGGCTCGGAGGGCGCTTCGCAAACTTCAGGGCGTGACGTGCCGAATGGGGAGAAGTTGGAGGACAAGTTTTGCGCGTGTGTGAGTGTGTGTTTGTGGGGATGGGGGGGGGGGGGGTGGGGGAATGGGGGGGGGGGTGTCTGGGTATCGGTGTGAGTGTGGGTCAGTGTGGACGTGTTCTCGGGTAGTTTGGTCGGTTCCAGCGAAGTTTGGGGCTTGTGACGGAGTTTGCTCATGGACACTTGCCGGCTGGAGATAGGATAGTCTCGTGTGGCAGAACCGGACCCGTTTTTGTCTGTTGATCGCTGCAGGATCGGACTTGGTGAACGCACCGCGCTATTGAGCTGCATGTGCCCGGTTTATTTAATCATGCAATATTGCACGCGTTCTATTCATGTTGCCTTTTGTGCCTTTTTTGCTAGAGACAAGATTGCTATTTTCTCTTTTGAGAGTCATTTGCTCATCACTTTTACGGGACATGGCACCGTCGACTTTTGGCTTCCGACCGGCCAATATGGTCACCATTTTTCTTGTGCCCCACTGACGGGTGACGCGTGTTTCGTGCCGTCACAGGGATGCGCTGAATACTTTCATGGAGTCGCAGGGCGCCCACACGCCTGGCATCATGGTGCTCACCACCGGCCTGAGCAAGGTGTTCCGTCGCCTGGACAAGTTCCCCTGTGAGTGAGCCGCCCAGCTGGCGCGGCTGCGGCCCGTGCCTACCCACGCTCGCCGCGGGCCAGCCGTGCCGCGTGCGTCGTGTGAACGGCCGCAGCCGAGCGGTCTGAGGCGCACCGTCCCGCGACGTCCGGCTGCGATACGCTTACCAAATAACCAGCGCGATTACAGTGGCGCTGCTGCGATCACTGTAGACCGGACGAGTGCATTTAGTCTCGTTTATGCAAGGTGCGCCGATACATAGCACGAACTATTACGACCCAAAACGTGAAACTGGTGGGTGGGTGCCGTCGGCCGGCGGGACCGCGGCGCCCCGCCGCTGGGACGCCGCGGGCTCCGCGGGCTCCGTCGGCTCCGTCGACAGGTCCCGGCCAATGTTCGGCCGCCTGAAGCGTCGGTCACGTGCCGACCTCGTCTGTCGCCGCTGCGCCGCGCGTCTGGACGGCTGCTCTGCGCCGGAAGTCTCGGGGAGGGAAGAGGGCAGGGCTCGTGTGTCTCGCGCACACCCGGCCGCTTTGTGTGTGTGGGTGTGGGTGTGGGTGTGGGTGTGGGTGTGGGTGTGGGTGTGGGTGTGGGTGTGGGTGTGGGTGTGGATGTGGATGTGGATGTGGGTGTGGGTGTGGGTGCGTGTGCGTGTGCGTGTGCGTGTGCGTGCGCGTGTGCGTGTGGGTGTGCGTGTGCGTGTGTGTGTGTGCGTGTGCGTGTGCGTGTGCGTGTGTGTGTGTGTGTGTGTGTGTGTGTGTGTGTGTGTGTGTGTGTGTGTGTGTGTGGGTGTGTGTGCGTGCGTGCGTGCGTGCGTTTGGCGGGGGGGGGAGAGGGGGTGCTATAGCCAGCCGCTGAGTCTCGGCCGCTCGGGCGGCGCCGATCCGTAACGAATGGCTCTTGCCCCACGTTATTGCGCCGGTCAAGGACGAGAGCGGTGACGTCCGTCAGGCCTCGCTGTGTTGTGGCTGCTAGGGACAGCCAGGCCGGTCGCTTCTCTACGGGTGTGGCGCTCATGGATCGATCATGCCGACTTTTTGTATAAGGAAGTCCGACACCGGCACTGCCCTGGCACTAGTCCGAAGTTCATGGCCACCCAGGCACTACCCCAACACCGCCGTCGCTTTTTAGTTCTGGCTTCCTGCAGGAACGTAGCCAAAGGGAGGGTCAAGGGGTCTTGCCCCTTCACTCATTCCTGCGGATTTGTGGATTCCCCTCCAGGATTTTGAAGACAGTCTGTAATTTGACCCCCCTGGGGAATTGTTGTCTACGTGCCTGGCTGTCTACCGCGGCGCCGAAGTGCTGCACTTCTGACGCCCACCACACACATTCTCCGGAGCGGCTGTCCTGGCCGCCAGCACCCGTCTCGCGTCATCTCGTGACCCTCCGCTCAGGCTGTCAGTTTCGTATTCGGGCTATTTCCACCGGCGGGTGCGTACAGGCGGCTTGCAGTGCGTGAGTGTAGCCGGCATCTCGTGACCCTCCGCCCAAGCTGTCAGTTTCGTGTTTGGGCTGTTTCCGCCGGCGGGTGCTTACAGGCGGCTTGCAGTGCGTGAGTCGAGCCGGCCAGCGGCGCTGTCGAAGGTCGGACGGCCGTCTTTGTGTGCTCTTGGGACGTGTTTCCGAGGAGCCTCTGCGGCACGCCGCTGGCCCGTCGCTGCGGCGCGGACACATCTGCTGATGGGATCCGCGCCGGCCGGACAAACGGAGAGTCAGATGGGCGTTGGGCGTTAGCTGATTGGACTTGTCCGCGGTCTCCGGTGCCGAAGCGACGAAGGCAGGCAACGGGCAGGGTCGCAACCGGAGGGAAGGAGATAGAATAGCAGGGCGATGGGAGAATGGGCGCGATGGGAAAGAGAAAGGGACAATACGCCGACCGTTTGCCTTGGCCACCATGATCGGTGGTGAGCTGAGCCGAGCGTTGCTGAGACTCCGTTAGCATGATCGTTTACAACTGCACGATGATCACCGTCCATCTCGATACGCCATGAGTGAAACAGACAACAGACGTGCCATGCGTGGCGCCCGAGCCGAGCGACCAGGACGGATGTTGTGATGCGCGGCCGCCCGCTCCACTGACGCTCGGTGGCCGGCCGCAGGCATGCTGCAGGAGTACGAGCGCCACCTGGAGGAGGGCCACCCGGACCGCGGCGACACGCAGCGCTCCATCCACGTCTACAACGACATCACGGTATGGCGGAGCTCGTCCTTGACCGGTGTGTGGACGGCGCGTCTCCCTCTGGCGGTGGAGCGCAGCCCCGAACAGGCCCGTGGGGGATCTGCTGGGTTGGCTGCCATGCGTCCACGTGGGACGACCGGGGGCGGGGGCGGTCGTCCCTAGCGGGCCACTGGGGTGCTCGGTGGGACGGGCTCGGGGCCGACCGCCCGCTAACGCCCGACCTTCCGCCCGCCGCAGACGAGCTGTGCCGCGATCCGGCGCCAGAAGGAAACCGAGCTGGAGATACTGTCTGGCAACATTCGCCGCTGGGAGGGCGAGCAGATGGCCAGCCTGGGTACGTACCGCCGCTGGGAGGGCGAGCAGATGGCCAGCCTGGGTACGTACCGTCGCTGGGAGGGCGAGCAGATGGCCAGCCTGGGTACGTACCGCCGCTGGGAGGGCGGGCAGATGGCCAGCCTGGGTACGTACCGCCGCTGGGAGGATGAACAGATGGCCAGCCTGGGTACGTACCGCCGCTGGGAGGGCAAGCAGATGGCCAGCCTGGGTACGCACCGCCGCTGGGAGGGCGGGCAGATGGCCAGCCTGGGTACGTGCCGCCGATGGGAGGGCGGGCAGATGGCCAGCCTGGGTACGTACCGCCGCTGGGAGGGCGGGCAGATGGCCAGCCTGGGTACGTACCGCCGCTGGGAGGGCGGGCAGATGGCCAGCCTGGGTACGTACCGCCGCTGGGAGGGCGGGCAGATGGCCAGCCTGGGTACGTACCGCCGCTGGGAGGGCGAGCAGATGGCCAGCCTGGGTACGTACCGCCGCTGGGAGGGCGAGCAGATGGCCAGCCTGGGTACGTACCGCGCTCCTTGATGCTCCCGAAGAGGTGCCGACTGCTCACGGACAGTCTCTGTGTGCGCCTTTGCTGTTGACGCCGCCACCGGAGGGAGGCGAGAGAAAGGCGCCGAAGTTGACCGGGCGCGGGGTATGTATCACTGAAGGTGACCAGGCGCGAGATATGTACCACCCCGCCCGACCTGCACTGGCTGGGTGGGTAGTATGCTGTGTGCCCGCCTCTCTTGATGCCCAATTCTGACAGATGTGTTTAGTTACTCTGGCCATCGCTCCGCCGGCGATATCGAGTCCGTGGTCTTCTCTGCCCGTAAATACCTTGTTTATCTTTCGATGCCGTTGAGAGTTGAGACACACAGTTGAACGTTAGTTTGTCACGCTTTAATGCGCTGCTAATCACCTTTGAAGAGTTTCTGGGCGAGATTATAAGGCTTGACGCAGTTCAGATGGGAGAGGGACTTCTGGAATAGAGCTGGCGCAGACTGGTGGAAGCCGCGGAGAGATGTGAGTTTCACAGCCCCGCAGCCGGCCACTCCCAGCATCCCCGGCTGTAGCGCCTGCTCAGGGCTTTGAATCATGCACCGTTGGCTTGTAGTCTGCCCTGTGACGAATTCGTGTAACTGGTGACCAGACGACAGGGTGCTGCAGGTTTCATCCGTGAATACACCGAGCGCATTTCGCCTGCGCTCAGGAGGAAACCGTTGAACGGTTTCCTCCTGAAATGCTCGTAAATCTGAAATCAAGTCACTTGGACGCCATCGGCATCACAGATAAAGTTTCGAATCACGTCTGTCACGACAGCAGCGCGGTCCCCGTGCCGTCAGTATTCTAAGGAGTGGTGTATGCAATAGCGTGGCGCTCGATGCCACCAAGCGAGGCTCGGTGGTGGTGTATGTTAGCATTGCTATGGTGTCGCGGGGTGGAACGGCGCGCGAATTTAAGTCTTCCCAAACGCAGATGTGAGTTCCAAGCTATCGGGTAAAAGTGAATATTTTAACATTGTCAATTCCGTCTCTTCATTCGTTTGCTCTCCGGTGTACTGGGAACCTACCCGGATATGGCGGACAAGTATTTGCTGCATATATCCGATCCGATACGGATACGATCCGGCAGTACTGCGATCCGTCTCCGGTGCGGTCGGACCTCAGATCTGGTCCGTCTCCGGTGCCGTCGGACCTCAGATCTGGTCCGTCTCCGGTGCGGTCGGGCCTCAGATCTGGTCCGTCTCCGGTGCGGTCGGACCTTTCGTCTCCGGTGCGGTCGGACGCTAGGTCTGGTCCGTCTGGTGCGGTCGGACCTTAGGTCTGGTCCATCTCCGGTGCGGTGGGACGTTACGTCTGGTCCATCTCGGGTGCAGTCGGACGTTAGGTCTGGTCCGTCTCCGGCCCGCCGCCGTATCGACCGGGCCGTCCGCTCCGATGGCCGTTCGGGACGGTCCGGCCGAAGCGGGCGCCGCTCATCTCATTGGGCGTGACGGCGGCGTCGACCTGTGACCTTCCCGGCGCCGACGCTCCGCTTATGACGGTCTGAAGCAGTGCCGACGGACAGTGGCCGGCCGGGCCCGACGGGCCCGCCGCCAAAGGTCACCGCTGCTAACCGGACCGGCACTCCAGCGCGCGCCGCCGCCGCCGCCGAGCCGGCCCTCGCCACGTCCCGCTCTGGGGCGGCGCTCCTCTCTGACCTCTGGCGCGACGCCATCCGCTCTTCCCTCTGCACGTGCCTCCTCGGGCTCTGTCCTTTTCGTCATGTCGGGGTTCACGCTGGCATGTTGTTGGCCTCGAGTCTCCCGGCTGAACGTTGGTTATGGAATCGGACATCGAGCACGGCACTGTTGTTTGGGTAAACCTTAAACTCCAGGCTGGCTCTGACGCGGTCTTTGACGTCGTTGCCAATCTGTCTTCGGGTTCGGCGCTACCTTTCAGCATGGCTGTCAGGTGACTCACTTACCGCCCTTTGCGACTGTTTTTGTGTCTCAGTTTGGCTGCGCCATTCTGACCATATCTGGCTTGTGCCTCTGACTGAGTCAGGCTATTGACCCATTCTTGTTTGCGTGCCTTGGCTAGTGTCCCCACCATCCCACCCCCACCCCCAACGCCCATCCCCACCCCCACCCCCAACGCCCATCCCCACCCCCACCCCCAACGCCCATCCCCACCCCCACAGTCTTTGGTTACCGTTGTTCTTGTGTACACTCCATTCCCCCATGTTTACCGGGCATATTTTCTCCGCCGTCGTTTGGCCGTCAGTCAGAGTCTCCTCCTGTCGACGTCTCCCTGTCACGACGGCCACAACTCATCGCTTTGGGCCGTCGCCCGCGGTCGGCAGCCGGTATCCGGGCGGGTGGCGAGAGCTCTGCCATGGCATATATCCTCGCTTTGAGCGGCCGCCTGCGGTCGGCTGCCGGTGTGCTGGCGGGTGGCGAGAGCTCTGCCATGGCATATATCCTCGCTTTGAGCCGTCGCCTGCGGTCGGCTGCCGGTGTGCTGGTGGTTGGCGAGAGCTCCGCCATGGCATATATCCTCGCTTTGAGCCGTCGCCTGCGGTCGGCTGCCGGTGTGCTGGTGGGTGGCGAGAGCTCTGCCATGGCATATATCCTCGCTTTGAGCCGTCGCCTGCGGTCGGCTGCCGGTGTGCTGGCGGGTGGCGAGAGCTCTGCCATGGCATGTATCCTCGCTTTGAGCCGTCGCCTGCGGTCGGCTGCCGGTGTGCTGGTGGGTGGCGAGAGCTCTGCCATGGCATTCACCCCGTCGCCATGCCGCCAACCCTCGGCCTCGACCGCGACCTCGACCTCCGCTTCGACCTCTGCCTCGATCCCGGCATAGACTCGACACCCTAGAGCCTGCCGTGGCCGACTTTCGCGAACCGGAGCTGCTTGGGCGGTCGCCTGTCGCGCCGAGGCTGGGGGCGGGGCGGACGCACGTGGCGCCGCCCCGGACGGACTCATTAGCGCGCACGCCGGCACGGCACGGCGAATCAGCGGACAGGCTCGCCTTCTGCCGATTGGTCGGCTGATGGATGACGCCCTGCCTAGCGGCGGCAGCCGGCCGTCACGCCGCCGGCCGGGTCACGCCGCGCCAGCGGCCGGGCGTGGCCGGAGGCGGACGGACCTAATGACCGCGGCGGCTCTGGCCGCCTCCGCCGCGGCCCGTCGCTCGAGACAGGCCGGCGTCGGTCTGGTGCCGTTTCGGCGCGGCGTCGCCCAGGGGCGCAGCCAGGGCGAGCTGCGGATGGGAACGGCCCTCAGGCAGACGCCGTAGCGTAGGACCAGACCGGGGTGTGAATGCGACCTGTCTTACTGGCGACAATTATGCTCTGCGCGTTGTCGTGTGTCAGCGCCAGTTCACCACCCAGGCCGTTGCGGTGCCCGGGCGGACACCACACAAACGCGCTCTGAGCGCTGCGTCTGTGGGCGGCGGCCGCCGCGGCCGCGGCTCGTCGTTCCGCCGACGTGCTGCGGCCGCGGCGGAACGGCGCGCTGGCAGCACGGCGCGGCCGGTGCCGCACCACTGGACGCGGCGCGCGCCAGACCTGCGACAGCGCCGCGTCGACGGCGGCAGCCCGGAAACGGGAGTGTGTCGCGGCCTTGGGTCGAGTTGGAGCGGTGCCGGCGGCGCGGCGCGATACAGACTGTCGTCGCCCAGCGACACGGCTCGGCCAGTGGTCCTGGCTCATTGCACATGCACCACCGGGAGCAGCCCCTCTTCAGCCTCTGATCACTTGGCGTAGGTGGTGTTTACGAGATGGCTTGTGCATGTTAGCTGACGGGGAACGGAGGATGCCATAGGGTTGATGTGAATAATGCAGGTTCGTGCCAGCTGAGTGCAACCGATGACCACTGGAGGTGGCCCCCTGTGACGTATTTGTATCATCCAGAGTGGGACCCGCACTGAGCGTGTGCAGGCACCGACCCTCGTACCTCTCAGCTGGCGTGTGCGCCACGCGCATCTTCAGCGGGGCGGCACCATTCTGGCTCCGCCGACATGTCTCACAATTCATATTGTGGAGTGTTGCCGGCCGGGCTCCGCTTACGCAATCGCGGCTGGTCACGGCCGTGACGTTTCCAGTCCTGTTCAGAAATAGCCGTTTAATCGGCTTTGTGAGCGCTTCTGAGTGACGCTCTCATCTGAGCGGATGCGACAGCTGCGACAATAGAACAGATTTGTTTCGGCCTTGTCTGACTGTGACACGGGCCCGACAACAAGCCTCCTGACCAACTCATCGTTGGGTTGGACTGGTCGCGATAACTCCATCAACATCAGCAACACATCGAACATATTACCCGTGCTTGCGTCACTTTTCGCCTTTTGTAGGCAAAGTTTCCTGCCGTCAGCTGTAGGCCACTGTAAAGTACGGCCGCTCTTGTATTCTGCGAGTCTCGTCGGAACAGTGGTTTATGGGCCCACTTGTCGGGCAGAGGGGACCCCAAGGCCTCACAATGCTGTCGTCAACGGTCTGCCGGCAGGCCCGGCCGCTAACGCTCGCGTGATTCGTGCACACCAGGGGGCTTCAGCGCTTCTTGTGCCATTAGCATTGTCCGGATGGGTCATAATGACGTGTCAAGACCTGACGCCAAGTCGTGAACCATCTGTAATTTAGCAGCCGCTGCCGCAGACACGTGCGTACGACTGGACGACGCTCGAGAGAAAGACCCTTGCACACGTTTCTACACCGTGCCCGCAGGCGAGATCGTGCACATGGGCTCGGTGGCGGTGGGCAAGGACCACAGCGACCGCTACTTCGTGCTGTTCCGGACTACGCTGGTGATGCTGAGCGTGTCGTCCCGCATGTCGGCCTTCATATACGAGGTCAGTCGGTCAGTCGATGCCCTCATCCGCGGCCAGCGCGCCTGTTTGCCCTCGTACGTGAAGGGAGCCCCTTATCTGCAGATACCCGGGCTTCTAGCCTGACGTTTACTGTCCCCAGTCTTTGATGGGTCATACGTTCGCCTATGTTTTGTGGTTCGGACCACCAGGCCACGCCGTGTCACTGTTGAGCACAGGTCTGGGCGGCGCCGCACTGTGAGGGCGAGCCACGTTGCCCCTGTTCTCCAACGCCCCCTCGCCCTTGACATCGCATGCTGGTGCCGGGTAGAAGGATCCCGAGCCGTCTCCTTCCAGCATCGCCGCGCCTTGCCGCTGTGAGTCAGACCACTCGGTGTCGCCCGTGGTCAGAGGCCGCTGTGAGTCAGACCACTCGGTGTCGCCCGTGGTCATAGACTGGGTGAGTCAGACCACTCGGTGTCGCCCGTGGTGAGAAGCCGGGTGAGTCAGACCACTCGGTGTGGTCAGAGGCCGGGTGAGTCAGACCACTCTGTGTCGTCCGTGGTCAGAGGCCGGTCTGTGTGCGGCCGGCGTTCATGGCTGATTGGAGAACCATCTGGCCTTTGTGCGCTGGCCTCGGCACTGGACGAGGCTGGGTATAATGAGCTGGCCCTGGTCGCCCTCGCTGACAATAGCCATCTCGGAGGCTGGCCGACGCCCAAAGGCAGACGACCAGCCAGAGCCGACATCCCTGCTGATGAACGATGCTCCTGAAGGGGTGTAGGCAGGGAAAGGGGTAGGAGCTGAGCCCAGCTGTCTATGCGACAGGGGAAGCTGCCGCTGTCTGGCATCAACGTCACCAAGCTGGACGACTCGTCAGAGCATAAGAATGCCTTCGAAATTGCCGGTAAGCTCTTTGCGGCCATGTTTTCAGCTATCTAGCCGGTAGCGTACGGTCTTGATCGGCATTGATGTTTCGTGCGTGATGTTTCGTACGAGCACATCTGCCCGTTGCAATGAACCAAATTGCGACGTCAGAAATAGTTTTACTACTCAGAGGCATAACTCATTAAATATAGCCATACAAGATGAAACTCGCCCGTGCAGTTTCCGTACGTTTGAAGTGGCGCTCGCGAGCACACGACCGGGCCGCGTGCTGCGCGGTCCGCGCACGGCCGCCTCACCGCCGCGCCGCCGGCTGCGTCTCCAGGGCCGATGATCGAGCGTATCGTGGCCGAGTGCCAGACGCGCGACGAGCAGCAGACCTGGGTGACGGAGCTCAACGGCCAGATCCAGGCGGCGCGCCAGTCGGCCTTCCTGCCGAGCCAACCACAGCCGATTCCGCACACGAGCGTAAGTTACCTGCGCCACACGCCCGGCTCGCGGCGCTACGAGGCCGGCGTGCGCGCGTTCGTGGTGCCGCCGGCCGGCCGTCTGCCGCTGCACCAGCCCGTGCTGGACCTGGTGGCGGTGCCGTACACCCAGCTGACGGCACACATCGCCGACCTGCTGCGGCGGCGCGTGCTGACGGCGACCCGCCTGAAGCGGCTGCTGTACGCGGCCAGCGGCTCCTCGGAGGCGGAGGAGGCGCCGCGCCGCCGGCCGGCCGTCACCTGCCGCCGCCTGTCGGGCGTCCGCCTGCGTCGCAAGGTGTACCGCAAGCGGCGCAGCCGGCGCAGCTCCGGCTCGTCCGCCTCCAGCGAGCTGCTCTCGCCGGAGCAGCGGCGCCACCAGTTCCACCAGCTGCAGCGCTGGGTGCTGGCCGGCGAGAAGTCGTTCGAGCGGGAGCAGGAACGCAGTGCGCCGGCGCGCGGCGCCACCTACCGGCTGTCATCGGAGGGCGAGCGCGCACCCGGCGCCGACCACAGTAGCAACCCGTACGGCTGGATCCGCTACTTCGACGGCAGTCAGCATGCGGTGACGGACGCCAGCGGCAGCAGCGGCGGTGAGGCGGGCGGCGGCGGCGGTGCCGGCGGCGCCTGGCTCTCGCTGGACCAGCTGTCGGCGCTGGGCGACCGGCCACCGCCAGGGCACCTGCGCCGTCTCCACTGGGGGCCGTACGTCAGCTGGGACGCGCTGGAGCGCACGCGCTCGCTGTGCGAGCTGCCGGGCCGCGCCGCGCCGCTGCACGCCGCGCTCTGGGCAGAGTCGCAGAGCCTGCCGTGCGTGGCCGGCCGCGCCGGCGCCGCCTCGCTCTGTCTGCCGGCTCAGGCCATGCCGCTGCCCGACGAGATCTGGCTCGGCATTCCGTGCAGCGACTCGCGGGAGCAGTCGTCCGTCGAGGGGCTGCGCCACTTCTTCCCGGGAGACACCGGCGGCGAGGGCAGCGCGTCGTCAGTGTCGTCACGGGGGGCTGGCGGTGGCGGCGCGGGCCGGTTGAGGGCGCGACCGCCGCGACCGCGACCCCCGCGGCCGGCGGCCCGCCCGGGGCCGGGTCGCCCAGGCTGTGAGGTCCCGCAGGCGGCCAGGGAGTTCGACCTACCTGGGAATCGCTGCACGAGAGGCTCGCAGGGTGGACCGGGCCCCCCGGCTAAGGTGCACCGTCATTCGGCGATGGGGAGCCAGCGTTCTGCTCTGTGGAGCCGACACTCCTCTGTGGGAAGTCAGGGGTCTAACACGGGGAGCCCTCAGTCCACCGTGGAGAGCCGGCACTCATCCACGGAAATGCGACAGTCGTCTATGGAGAGCCAGCTGTCCGCCGATGAGAACGGGCACCCCACCGCCATGGGTGAGCTCGCCTCCGTGAAGAGAAAACAGTTTTCGGCGAGGAGCCAGCAGTCGACCGGCACTAGCGAGGTCTCGGCGCCCGCCAGCCGTCAGTCCGGAGCCAGCGTGACCCGCTCTGCCGCCGACGGTGAGATGTCCACCGTGTCCGGTCCAAAGTCCCACCTGAAGAACCCGACGCCCGCCAGCGGTAGCCGGACACCAGTCAGCACGAGCCAGAAGTCCGTAAACGCCAGTCGTGGTGCAATAAGCGGCGGCCGTTCGGCCACCAGACAGGCTCACGAGGCCTGCGCCAGGATCCAGGAACCGGCCGTGAACGTCACCGAATCCCCCTCACGTGCGTCTCCGCTCGGCCGCGGCCAACGTTCCGCCTCGCCGGCCGCCCAGGTCGCAAACTACTACGTGCACGCGGTGACGTTGGTGAACCAGCCGGCGGCCGAGTGGCCGGCCGCACAGCCGCCGCCGCCGCGTCCCGCCGCCAAGTGCACCTGCGACGCGCAAAGCTTCAACTCGGCCGACTCGGGTCTTGCGGACGTGTCGCACCACAGCGCCTCGTGCCCGCTGCGCTGGGCGTCCACGCCGCGCCTGCGCCGCTCGTCGCGCCTCTCCTACCCGCGCCTGGCGCTGCTCAACGCGCTCTGGGGCGGCTCACAGCAGAGCCTGGCCGCTGCGCCGCCGGCGCCGCTCCAGGCCGGTGCGCTGCAGTCGAAGGGCGCGCGCGCCGGCGGCGAGGCGCCGCCGCCGTCACGCACGGGCTCCACGCGTTCGCTGCCGAACCCGCGCCGGGACGCGCCGCCCGAGGAGGGCGAGGCGGGCGGCGCGGGCGGCGCGTGGCCGCCGGGTGGGGCCCGGCCGGCCGGCCGCGCCCGCTCGGCGTCCGGCGGCGACAGCTTCCGTTCGCACATGGTGGCCCACTGGTGGATGAAGACGTCCGTGTGCCCGTTCGAGCTGCGGCGCGGCGAGGCGGCGGCCTGCAGGCAGTACGTGTCGCTGCGGCGCTACCGGCCCAAGTTCACCGCCCACTCGGGGCCGCACCACACGTGCGGCGCGTCCAAGGAGTCGAAAGCGTCGCAGACCAGCTTGCCGTCTCGGAGCAGCAGCAACTACAGCACCCGCGCCTTCCACAGCTCGGAGCCGGCGGCGGCCGAGGACGACCAGTGGGTGACGCTGGCCGAGGTGGAACTGGACCACCAGGCTGGCGAGAACGCCGCTTCACTGCTGCGGCACGGCCGGCAGCCGGCCGCTGCCACCGCCACCGCATCCTGCCGCGTGTTTTCGCGGCCGGCGGTGGCACCGCTCGCCCGCAGCCACGTTGAGATTGGCCGGCTGGGCGGCCGGCGCCGCTCCGGTCGCGTTCGCCTCTCGTCGCCGCAGCTGGTGGCGCTGTCGGCGTTGGGCCGGGCGCCGCCGGCCGTTCGGCGCGGCCGCCCGCTCCTCTTCTGCTACGACGCCGCCAGCGTGCTCGACTCGTGCGCGGCCGTGGTGATGTCGCGCCGGCCTGACAGCGCGGCGTCCAGCTCGGCGTCCAGCGCCGGCGGCCGCAGCTCCGCCAGCTCCGGCGGTCAGTCGCCCGCCGGCGCGGCGCCGGCGCCGGCGGCGCGCGTCTTCTGCTACGACGCGGCGACGGTGCTGGCCACATCGGCGCCGGTGGGGCTCCGCCCGGCACGCGTCAGAGAGGAGGCGGCTGTGGAAACGTCAGAGACGGCGGAGGTTGACGGCGGGGGCTCAGCGGGGAGGGAGGAGGACGCCGACTGCCCGGCGAGCTGGTCTGGTGACTGTGACCTGACGGCGAATTCTGAACGGGGTGGTGCCGCCAGTCCCGCATGGTCGTCCGTGGAGGGTCCGGTGTACCGCTCCACCGCCGAACTTACCTGCTCCGTCGCGCCGTCCCGCGCCGCGGCCGGCCGACTGCGCTCTTCGCCCCCGCCGGCCACCAACGCCCGCGCCTCCGACTCCGAGCGGGATGAGCGGGAGCCAACGAGCACCTCGGACTCGGCGACGTACCCATCGCCGTCCGTTCGGCGCGGTCCGTCCGCGGCCGGCCGGGAGCCGCCGCCGCCGTCACCGCCGCCTTCGCGGTCGGACGCGCCGCCGCCCGGCCGGCCGCCCTGTTCGCGGCCGCGCACGCTGGAAGCGTCGCCGACCGGCCTCCGGACCGGCGAGCGGCCAGCAAGCGCCAGCTTGCTCAGCCAGCCGAGCACCGACGACATCGAGGCCGTCTACTACCGGCCGGACTCGGCGACGGCCGACGCTTGGAGGCCGTGGCGGCCGTGGTCGGCTGTTAGTCTCGAGTGTCCACACTGCAGCGGCGCCGAGCGTGACGGCGTGCCCGCGCACCGGCTGTGGGGCCCGCGCGCCGGCTTCAGCGGCGAGGACGACACGGACCTGTGCGCCACCTTTGAAGCCGGGCAGGCGGGATGGCCCGGAGAGTCCCCTCATGGACGACTCGACCAAGAGTTTCCGCCGTCAGCTCGCGGATCCGGTCGAGAGTGTGGGGAGCGGGGGATTACGCATTCGGCGGATAGGAGCGGGCGGGAGTGGGAGGGGCCGGTGTTTCCACACTTGGATGTTAAGAGCGGGCAGGAGTGGGGTAAGCAGGAGTTTCCACACCCGGCCGGTAGAAGTGAAGAGGAGTGGGAGGAGCCGGGCTTTCCCCACTCGGCCAGTATAAGCGAACAGGAGTGGGAGGAACAGGAATTTCCGCACTCGACCAGCAGGAATGAGGAGCGCCGCTGGGAGGAGCAGGAGTGTGAGTGCCTACTCAGCGAGTGGGGCTCTCCTCACTTCCTCGATGACCGTGGGGAGAGGCTGCAGTGGCGGGAGCCTGCGCCGACCGCCCACAACAGCGGGGATGGCGGGAAGTGGCGAGATTTCTCCGTCGAGGTCCAAGAGCAGCGGAGGATGTCTCCCTTTATCGTCCCCCCGAACGAGCGAGACCGGCAGCACTCGCCCCCCGAGGACTGGTCTCCACGAGACTGGGAAGAGCCGAAGAGCTCTTCGCGATGTCGGGGCGAGAGGGGACTTGCAGAGGGAGGGTCTCTTGAACAAGACCAGTCAACGGAAGAAAAAGACCAGGTGCAACCGTCGCCAAATGAGAGGCGACGGCGGTGTCTCACGGCCGACGAGGATGACCGGGAACGGGGATCAGATAGTGAGGCGACCCGACACGGGTCAACAAGGGGAGACAGTGATGCCGACGTCGGAAGTGGCGCGCCCGCGCCCAGTTCGCCGGCGGAGGCGTCGTGCGGCGCGTGTGAGCCGGCGGAGAGCGACGCCGCGCCCGGCTCGGACCTCATTGCTGACTCGGGTGACAAGCCGCGAGCTCGGCGCAGTCCGGAGCGGCCCGTCTCGGCCGGGTTCGAGGGTACGCAGGGCGCGGCGGCAGCTGACGGCGGCTGGCCGGCGCCGGCGCGCTCGCCCGGCGCTGCCGGCGGCGCCATCCCGTTCATGGACGAGAGCGACGGGGACGAGCCGCCGACGCCGCCGACGCGGCCCACGCTGGCCATCGACCCGAGCCTGTACCGGCGCGCGCCGCCACGGCCCCAGCGCTTCGCTGAGGAGCGGATGGTGGGCGCGGCGCCGCTGCTGCACCCGGCCGACCTGCTGCACGACCGGCTCATCCCGTCCACCATCGCCGAGGACAGCGAGTCGAGTCAGAGCGAGCCGGAGACGGGGGAGCGGCCGGCGCCGCCGCCACCGCGGCTCGGCCGCCGACCGCCCACCGACCCGGCCGTCCACCGGCCCGTGGTGCGGAAGCTGAGCGCTGAGGTGGCCGACGACATCCCCGCCTCCATCGGCGAGGAGGAGTCGGAGCTGGAGGCAGAGCCGGAGCCGGAGCCGGAGCCGGAGCCGGAGCCGGAGCCGGAGCCGGAGCCGGAGCCGGAGCCGGAGCTGGAGCCGGGGCTGGAGCCGGTGCGGGGGCCAGGGCCGGAGCTGGAGCCGGAACCAGAGCCGCAGCCGGAGCCAGAGTCGAAGCTGGAGCCGGAGCCGGAGCCGGAGCCGGGGCCGGCGGTGGCGGCGGCGACGCGCCGCTACCGCCTCGGCGAGCTGCCGCGGCTGCCGCTAGTGTGCGGCTCCACCGAGACATCGTCCGAATCGGTGGCGAGCTTCGACGAGCGTGGCGGCGGCGGCTTACGCGCATTGACCCTGATGGGCCGCTGCTCGCTGGCCGAGCGTGACAGCGGCAGCAGCGGCGGCAGCGACAGCGGCGAGGAAGACACGCTGGTGGAGGCGGCGGCGGCCGAGGTGGCCGCCGGCCGCCGTCTCGAGATGTACACCCGCCGGCTGCGCGACGTGCTGGAGCGTACCGGCCTGCGCAGCCCGCCGCCCCAGCGACACCGGCCGGCGCGCAGCCGCGGCGCGGCCCGGCCCACCGGCGCCGGCGACAGCACCAGCGGCGATGAGGTGCGCACGAGTGCCGGCGGCTACTGCGGCTGGAAGTACCAGGTGGCGGTGGCGCCGCATCCCCGCGGCACGCCGCCGTCGGCGGCCTCCTCCAGCCCGGACGACTGCGCCGTGCCGATCGTGGGCGCCGCCTTCCAGCGCCGGCCGCCGGCGCTCTCCAGCGACAGCCGCTCAAGCACGGCCGAGTCAGCCGGCTCGGTCGGCCGGCCGTCTCCACTGGCCGCCGACAGCCACTCGGGCACTAACGGCTCGGGCGCCTCAGATGCCCGGCCACCGCGTCTGGAGCTCTGGCGAGCGGCCTCCTCCGGCAGCGAGGGCGCGGCGGCGGCGGCAGCGACGGCGGCGGCGGCGGCGGCGGTGCGGCCGCGCGTGCGCCCGGTGCCCCCTCCTGGCTCCAGCTCGGACTCCGAGCCGGCGGCCGGCCGGCGGCCCAGCCCGCCGCCCAAGCCGGCGCACCTGCGCCGCCGCGCCCGGCCCCGCCACCACTGACACAGAGGCAAGCCCGCACGCATGCGCGCGTGTCGACGCTGTGAGCTCGCTCCCCGTAACGCCGCCGCCGCCGCGTGCTTGGTGTGGTCCGCCCGCCGCCCGCTCGCCATGCACGCTCGTTTGCCCGTCCCGATGTGGCGTAGAGCAGGCTGGGTGCTGGGGGCTAGAGTGGGAGACGATCGGTTTGGTTTTAGATGCCGGTCACGCCGGGCGCGCTGCTGGCGATAGTCTTTTCCCCTGTGGTAGCTGTGTGTGCGCGTGTCGTAGTGAATGACCGGCTGCCGTAGAAATGCCAGAGCTGATTGATATTATTGACTACCTGTGTGCCAACTAATGATATGTGGACACACAGCGCACACTAACAGTTATTTTGTGTTCAGTTTGGACTGCTTTTATACAACACAGTTGCAATACTTTCTGTTATGCATTCTCATGTACACGGCGGTAGTGCCTAGCAGTACCTATATTTCGACAATTCAGGTGTTGCGAGCATAAAGGGGTAACTTTGTCTTTGAATGTGGTGTACAATACTTAGATGAGATACGTGATTGTGACAACTGATGCTTTGCCCAATATCCACCAGTACGTAGATGACTAGGTGGCACCTGTTGGTAGTCGTTGTCGAATTGTTATTGCGTTGTATCCCCCCACTAGGTCGTCGTTGTCGAATTGCTGTTACGTTGCACCCCACATTGTGGAGAGATAGACGTCTTGTTCTGCTGGATAGCGCTTTCTTGACGGAGCCATTGGACCTATTCAGAAGGAGAGCAGCCCGAGTTGAGAGAAGCCATTCAGAGCACATTTCAAAAGACGTGCTACCATATGAAACTGCTCTGATTTCTTCACGATTACGGCCAACTGTTTTCACTGAGAGCCCCTTTGTAGCCCCCATTGATCTCCGTCATCTTGGAGCTGTTGCGTGCCTGGCCTGCGCCGGGGGCCGCGTCTCCGGAGGCGCCGCGTGAGGCGCCGGTGTGTCGGTGCCGCGTCCCGGCCGGACCGCGCCCTGACGGGTGGCCGCTGGCCTGCGCCGGGGCCGCGTCTCCGGAGGCGCCGCGTGAGGCGCCGGTGTGTCGGTGCCGCGTCCCGGCCGGACCGCGCCCTGACGGGTGGCCGCTGGCCTGCGCCGGGGCCGCGTCTCCGGAGGCGCCGCGTGAGGCGCCGGTGTGTCGGTGCCGTGTCCCGGCCGGACCGCGCCCTGACGGGTGGCCGCTGCCGCGACAGGTGGCACCACCTCCGCCGCCGCACCACGCGCCCATCAGCGAGGTCGGTGCCCTGAGTGCCACCTCGCTGCGGCCCTGGACGGCCGCCTGCCTGCGCCCCTCGCCGCCGCTGCGGCCCTGCCTGGCGCTCGGACGCGAGGACACCAACCGCAAGAGCAGCAGGAATATGGTGTACAAGTACAGGAAGCGAGGTGGGTCGGCTGGGGCGCCGGGTACACGCCGGCCACGTGGGGTACAGGTACTAGCAACGAGGCGAGTGGTACGCGCGCCTGATGCTAGCTACCTGGGTCACCCATAGAACACTGTGTACATTTACATGCTGAACACGAGTTTCGGGAACCGTTCGTCCGAACCGTTGACGTTACCGTTGAGGGTTGAGCTCCGATTAGTTTTTCGGTTGTGGCTAAGACAAAGGCATTGGTTCGTCCAGGAAGATAGTGGCGTGGTCGGCAGATGCGGGGGAACCGTGGGAGCAGCTTCCCAACTGTGCGCTGGAGCTGATGGTCCTCTGACTGGTGATGTGAATAGTGATAGGTCTCAGTGCACTGTCGGCCCACCTGACCGTTCCCGTGACTGCGTCGCATCCACGCCGTCTACCGCGGTGCCGTCGTGCTGTGTGCGGCCTGCCGGCTGCGGCCGCGCCGACCGATCACCTCCAGTGGCGCGGCGTCTCAGTGCGGGGTCGTCCCGGACCGCAGGTGACGAGCGGTCTTACGAGGACGACGCGCTCATCCTACGTGTGATCGAGGCCTACTGCACCAGCTCGCAGCCCAGGCACACCGTCAACTCCTGTGAGACGCGCCGCGCCAGCGGTCAGCTGCGCTGCGCCCTCACTGCGAAGTTTGCTTTGGCCGCGCGGTGGTCCCTCCTGCGCTCTCCCAATTTCTGTCGTTGTGCCCGCGTTTCTTCATGCTACGCTGGCTGTTTGTTGTCTCACGCTCTGTTTGTCGGGCTCAGCAGCGCACCTGCTCGATAAAGCCCGGGCATATGCCGTCTTATCCGCCGCCCCTGCGTCTGCTGCTTTGTTCTGACTGACGCCAACGTCCTGCCTTACGGTTAAGGCAGGCAGTCGCCGTGCGCGTTCCCTTTGACGTACTGTTCACGCCGTTGGAGGCTCTGTTTTTGTCGACGCTGTTGCTGGCCCGCCGTATGTTGCCGTCCTGTGACTCTCTGCGATCGGCTTCAGCGCTGCTGGACCCGCCCCATGCGATTCCGGAAGAGGAACGGCCGGCAGCGCCACAGCAGGAGGAGCGGCTCCTGGACAGCGTGCACCAGCTGCGCGAGGAGGTGCGCCAGCTGCGCGACCGGCTGGACGAGGAACGCCGGCGCCGGCAGCACCTGGAGACGATCGTGCGCACCCAGCTGCTACCGGGCCGCACCGATCTGCGCTGGGAGGACTGAGCCGTCCGGGCAGCCCGGCCGGCGCCGTCGATCCTCCTCCCGCCTGGCGTCGAGTCTCCAGCGGGCGCAGGATCGCCTGGTGTGTCTGGCCGCTATTGGAGGATCCGCCCGACGTATCTGGCGGCTGTAAGAGGGTGAACTGAGGGGCGATTGTTCGAGGACTAGCTGACGTGTCAAGGAACTGTGGGAGTCAACTGGCGTGTGTGCTAGCTGACGGAGGATCAACTGGCCTGTGTGCTGGCTGGCGGAGGATCAGTTGGCGTGTGTGCTGGCTAGCGGAAAATCGGTTGATGTGGCCGCTTGCTGGCGCAGGATCAGCTGACGTGTGTGCTGGCTGGCGGATGATCAGCTGACGTATGTGCTGGCTGGCGGAGGATCAACTGGCGTGTGTGCTGGCTGTCGAAGGATCTGCTGGCTGGCGGAGGATCAACTTGTGTGTGTGCTGGCTGGCAGAGGATCAGCTGACGTGTGTGCTGGCTGGCGGAGGATCAACTGACGTATGTACTGGCTGGCGGAGGATTAACTGACGTGTGCTAGCTGACGGAGGATCAACTGGCGCTTAGGGCGGTTAATGTGATATAGCTGCGACCGATTATGCTCGATATCTTCAACTGGGCCAACCAGATGGGGGGGGGGGGGGGGGGCACGAACCGGAGGTTCAGCGACAACCGTAGAACTGGTGTCATGTAACACCAGTTCTACGTGTCACTGGGTTAGTTCTTTGAGGGTTGGGAGCAACGGACTATGTCGGAAGATTGTCATGTTTCCGAACGCGTCATGAGAGCTACGTCTGGGGCAGGCGCCGGTCCCAGCTGTCTGACTTGAGTTCTACCGCGTACCATCGGCACTACATGGCCTGTTCTTCCGACCGTTGTCCGTACAGTCGTAGTCATTCAGCCCACAGTGTTGTTACACGCTGATCCTGGTAGCGGCTCGCCAGTAAGGAATAGTTACTACCGAACCACATGTTCATTGGAATTCCAATGCCAATTGCGTGCCTGCGATTTCACTATTGTGTTTACGCTGCCCGGCTGTCCGCAGCAAGCGAGTCTGTTTTGCAGCTGTTCTGGTAACAACCTTGATTGCCTATCAGGCATTGACGCTAGAAGGAACCCAATAACCAACCTTGGACGTGTCACGTTTACGTATGTGTCACTGAATGTTTGCCAGTGCGGGCCGAATATTGTAATAAACTTTTTAGATCAGGATTATAGTGTGCGCCCTCGACATGCGCCGAGACAAATAGCGCGGCAGACTTCGACACCTAGATTGTTCGCAGCTCGCCGGGCGTCGGTCGGATTAACTCTGACTCCGCCTCAAAAACAATATAGACGGTCCAGATCCGTACTTTGAGGAACACTACAAAGCTTGGGCTGAGCACGGATTACAACTACAAAGGACTCCACCGTACTCGAATCCGATGACAGTAGTATGCGCTACAACCTTGTTGCCGAGTCCGTCCCGCGCTAATGGGCGAGAGCTCAACGCTTGACAATATGAATGGCCGATTGATTTATGACCACAATTTTTCCCGCCATGTGACGTAACCAGCTATGCCGCACTTTTACGGCCGTTGTTAGGCTTTTTTAGGTTTTTAGGCCTTTTACACTAGAGAATGCGCGAGCGGTGGACACGTGGCTTATGCATGTTTCCGTAATATCAAAAGCGCTGTGGCGTTGTGTTATCGTGCATACGGCACCATCAGCTAGCCAGAGGATTGCTCGGTTACTTGAAGGTGGTAGTAGTAATTGGTCACGTTTTTTCGCGTGCGCAGTTCCATTTCTATAAACTAGTTTACCATACTTGTTGCCGAGAACATTTGTGGAGCTCATTAGTTTTTATGCTTTGTTGACATGTTTATTTGAATAAATCTCAAAATTAAAGTGTGGTGAAATCAACCCGATTTTCCGCATCACCATGCCCACCAAAGATGGCTGTGAGATACCTATTGCCGCGAGGTATCGAGGTAAGCGATTAATACTGTGCATTTCAACCCGGGTGTGCCTTACGCATCACATTCTAGCAAAGCCCAGGCCACGTTTATCAGGTGTTTCGTACGCGTCAGATTTAAGGGCAGCTTTTGAAACGTTATGTAAATCTATGGAAACCAAAGCAAGCTGTCTGGAAGCCTCGAGATTCAGGATAATTGTGTAATGGCACACTCACCAAATTTGAAATTAAAGTAGTTTCGACGTGTTTCTGTCCCTAAAAACCAGTCAACCATGCTCATTTTTGTCCTCGCCCTGCCTAACGGCTGCCGCGTTTTGTACAGGGCCGGGGCCGGCAAAATACATGCTGCCCCCGACTCTGGGCTATGATCCACACGACGGGCGGCGGTGGCGGGCGCCCGCGTACAGCCTGGCCAAGCGGCTGGGCGACAACGGTCCTGGCATCTGCAGCCCCGGCCCAGTGCACGGCATCGAGCACGATATGGTGCGCACCGGCAAAGTGCACAACCCCACCTACGTGATGGGCCAACGTCTGGACCATGGTACGTGATCGGCCAACCGATGCAGCTCGCTCGCTTGGTTGTCCTGTATGACTCCATTGCTTCTCGGCTAATCGAAGTTTTGGGGATTTTTTAATGGTCCCAGCTCCACCATCTGCGACATGAGTTGCCCGAGTAGTATACTGGAGCTGTGCATCTTGCGGCATCCCGTGCCACTTAGCTTCCAATACGTAAATAGTCTTTAGATTGTTTTGGATCTGCCTAGTAAGGTAGGAGCTACCATACGGTCAGTCGTTTGTATGCTGCAACCGCGCTTCTCATGGCGCTTTGTGATATCTCAGTAGATACCCGACTCAACATGCCGTTTTATTGCAAACGTCCGCGAAGGCAACATTTCATAGCTTCTGTGGACGTCGCCGCTCAAATCTCAACGGACTCCATTTGGGAGATCTGAAGCTCGTTTCCTGCAGGCGTCATGTTCCGGTCTCCGGCTCCGGGCACATACTCGCCCGAGAAGTACCCCGTTCCGCACCAGCGTTGGCCACCCTGCTACTCCATGGCCAAGCGCACCGAGATGCGACGCAAGGATGTGGGGCCCGGACCCAGCGCGTACACAGTGCCCGGCATGATCGGACCCAGCATTCCGCACACCAAAGCGAACCCATGCTACACCATGTAAGGCTCGTTGAGAGCGCCGTCTTCCGCGCACTAGGCGTGAGGGGGAATGGTATGCGGCGGCCAGTAGGTACGGTTACACACCATCATTTGACCCGCAGGTCAATCAGTCCACCCTGAGCATTGATCGACCAAGTATACAGTCACACTGCGCTATACGCCAAGCGGCAACATCGCCTTATACACCACAACACTCAGTGGCTGAGCGATAGCCCTGGCGCTAAACATAGCTTCATTACAACACGTCCTGTAGATGGCAGTTGCTGTATCAGGTTGTCCGTGATATTTCCACTACGACTTATTCATGATTGTACAAATGTATGGTATTTACGTTATCACATATATGCGATTTCCGATAAGTGTTACCAGCACACTATCAGTGGCGGCTGATGTGTGCTGGTAAGCCACAACCAGTTAAGATCGGCGACCCCAGTTCGGTGAGGGGCTGTGTTGGGCCGCTGCCGACCACCACGCACGTGCCTCGGTTGTGTGAGCCTCATGGACGCCTCTGACCGGCGCCCGCCCGCGTGCCGCAGGCGACCACAGACATACATCGGCGGCTTTGCCGTGGACTACGCCAAGACGCCGGGCCCGGCCCGCTACGACCCGGCCGACCCGGGCCTGGTGCGCAACCGCGGCCCAACCTACACGATGCGGCCGCTGACGCGCTGCGACTGGGAGGACCGCAACAAGCCGGGCCCGGGCGCCTACAGCCCCGAGGTGCGCTCGGGCGCCGCCGCCTACTCGATGGGCATCAAGCACAGCGAGTTCACTGCGCCACTCATCCTGGACTGCGACGCCATGTGAGCCGGCGCCACCCGGACACGGGGCAGCGCTGGGCGGGGCGGGGCTGGCCCCAGGGAGAGCGGAGCCGGTCACTCGGCCAGACGCCAGGCAGGCCGGTCACTCAACGCAGTGGGTCGCGCGTTGGTCGGTGTAGGAAATCTGCTGTTATCTTCGTCAAATTTTACGAAGTTTTCGAAATCATTAAACGCAGCCGATTTTCTTACAAATATACGAACGCGACGGTGACGACCGTTGCCGGGCAAACAATGTAAGGCGATCGTGTCTGTTGTCTATTGTTCAGTTTTAAGCACGTCAAAAAGTACAACAAAAGCTAAATATATTTTCCAGTAGAGAAATATAAAGGCCTTAGACAAGAGGATTGTTCACACGAATACACCATGGGTCTGACCGCATCGCTTCCACCATCCAGACGAGGTCACTTTACACTCAGGCCTCAGCACAACCCCTGGTCAAGCCCAGCTCTTCGCAGCGCGTCGAACAGAGAATGCCGGGACCTCCGCAGAAGAAAGGACATAACAAGGGCCAGATGACACTCACTACCTCTCAGTTGAGACCGAGCGAGCCTTTCAACGGTTGCACAGAACCAGATGGACGTGATTTCTAAATCAGCCTAACACCGTTACTAAGAAACACATCGCATCCACGCGAGCCGCCGACCCTCGGCCGGCACGCGGTACATTGTGTCAGCGGCTCAAGCCCCTCAAACCACACCCGGTCTGCGTCAGTCTCGGTCAACCGACGGCACTCAATCACGCACAATCGACCGCAACGAGTGCGGCGCGCGCCCGCCACTGGGCACCCGGCCTGCCATCGCAGGGGGCGGGCGTGTCAGAACGCTGACTAGAGCAAACCTGTGGGCGCCACGCCGGCGCGGAGGACGCCAACCGTCCAAGACAGAACACGTCCAGTGCGTCAACACGGAACACAAAATGTCACACACCACAAACTGACCGCGATAACAAACATCCGCTCCACCTGCTGCCGCGCAACTTGTTCTGGAAAGCAGGCGGTCAGGAAAGCTTGCTGGAAGCACCAATGAGACTGGGATGCGGTGACTGACACCGGACGAGGTCATGATGCAGACGATCGTGGTCTGGCGCTGGCGCGGCCAAGTGTACAAGCAAGAGCATGCGCTTGAACCAAATAGGTGTAGGAGCTCGGCCCACATTGAGCAACACTGACGTGCGTGCCGGACTGCGGCCCGCCGTTACCGAGCGCCCCGCGGCAGTGCCTCTCTAGCTGGGGGGTTGATTTGGGAGCGAAGTAGACGACAATGGCGTTACACCCTCACGTTACACAGCTGAGCGTGCTTCTCATCGCGCCATTTGTGGCGCCTCTCTCCTCGCAGGGATCCAAATCAGTGAACGGGGAAGGGCGCTGCCACATGTACCTTCATTTTGTGGTACCTCTGGCGCCGATCGTTGGTGCATGGCACTTCTTTGACGTGAACGAACACGCCTGGATAAGAAAATCGTTACAGTAATTTCCCCAAGGCACGGCACCCGAGAAAACTCTCATGCTATTGCAAGACTATTGCTTAGGCACGCCCTAAACTTGACACGGGAGATCACGGGGCCCAACTCTAAATTGGGACGGACACCATCCGCCGCCGACTCTTACGTGTCATGCTTGTCTTACGCAAACTCATTGTCCGGGCACTCTCTCGAGTGACGGCCTTCGCACTGGGGATATCATACAAACGGGTTGGATGACATATTCTCAAATGGTGTGGCACCCCGCAGTGGCACATTTTTATAAGCAAGAAAATATGGCCTACAGAAAGGATATAGTAAGCAAAACCGTCGGAAACATCTAAAAGTAAGAATGAAGAGTTGCCAGAGCAGGCTGTCATATCCTCCTCAACATCAGCATCTTAAGCGGTCAAATACATTTATCTTGACTCACTGGAAAACCTGTAAATATGGAAGAACTACTTTACGCACGTACAGCCACCAATGTGCCATGCCAACGCATGATTCCATTTCGCAAATCATAACCTATTTCATGGGACTAGGTCTTTAACTGGACCATTCGAACAAAACCTGTTTTTGACGACGACAATCTTGCCAAGCCACCCAGGCTTCGCTGACAGGTAGCCGAGTGGACGTTAGGGGCTGATGATAAACGAACTAGCCTAATTCAAGGGTACGGGAGGGGGGGAAGAAGGAGGTACCATTGACGAACACAGCACTGCGCCACAACAGAACAGCATTATCGGAAACTGATGTCATGTATATATATATATATATATATATATATATATATATATATATATATATATATATATACACGACGTTTGATCGCTTCGACAACTGCATGGGGTCATCAAGATTTTCTTTCAATTATTTTTCGGCCGTTCAGATATTCTCGACGAAGGAATACAAAACTGGACCTGAGACTTTGTTCTGGTAACCCAATGAAAGCCAACAGTGTTAAGGTGCCACCGCCAGCGGGCGCCCAAGGCCGGCAAATGGCAGCACTAGTCCCCGCCCGGCTCGATCCAGCAGCAGTGCCACCACCAGCGGGCGCCCGAGGCCGGCAAATGGCAGCACTAGTCTCCGCCCGGCTCGAGTCCAGCAGCAGTGTTAAGGTGCCACCGCCAGCGGGCGCCCAAGGCCGGCAAATGGCAGCACTAGTCCCCGCCCGGCTCGATCCAGCAGCAGTGCCACCACCAGCGGGCGCCCGAGGCCGGCAAATGGCAGCACTAGTCTCCGCCCGGCTCGATCCAGCAGCAGTGTTAAGGTGCCACCGCCAGCGGGCGCCCAAGGCCGGCAAATGGCAGCACTAGTCCCCGCCCGGCTCGATCCAGCATGCGATCTCGCACGGACAAGGACAACGGCTCTTTGTACCACTAGCTGAGCAGACCAGAGCCGTGGCTACAGTCAAAAACAAATACAACAGATAACACCGACAAAACGCAAAATTGCACCGCTCCAAGACGCCATTAGTCGAAATGGGGAATCGGTCGCCTTTTCTAGTCCAGTGTTCCTTCCCAAGCATGCATACTACCAATGGATCACATGAATGTACACTGCAGATACCACAGCCCAGTCAACAAGTTTCAGGCGTCAAACCACCCGTATCAACGATTTGCGCCGAGCACAAAGGACCTTTTCCACGCAGGTCTCGTGGGAAGAGCACAACCAAGCAGTAATGACTTCCTGTCACTACGGCTGTTCCTCCTCATCAGCGTCCTGCTCGATGATGCAGCCCTGATCGTAAGCCAGATGTCACAGGTTTGATATCGACCACCAGGCGTGTTTCGATCCTACACTACAGCCACCGGCGAGAGTGCGCCGCCCATGACCACTACCCACCAACGAACGGTGGAACAAAGCAAACCAGCGCCGCATCTCTCCGACTTATCGTAACCACCGTGGTTGACTGAGGGCTACGGCACTGTTGCCAGTGCAGGCAGAACAAGCTTGTCAGTCAACAAATAACGCACCCTGACTGCGGCTGGCGAAAGGTAATATCTACGATCATAGTTTGCCATTAGCTAGGGAGCCAACCGGTCCGAGCGACGTCCGCGACCTCCATGGCGGCAGAGCATCGCTCCAACGGCTGTTACGTACGCGCACGACGGAGTGACTGTATGCAAAGGGAATAACGAGGGACCTGGGCTATGTCAGAAGGTGTTAGCATGGTGAGATCGCTTGGTCTCATACTGTCTCAGTGACCAGCGACTCTCGATATCCCCGCCCTCCCTCCGAGTGAGACCGCCCCGCACCTGCGGTGCCAGCCACCTCACCTGCCACCCGCCCTCCCTTCCTCCCTCCGAGTGAGACCGCGCCGCACCTGCGGTGCCAGCCACCTCACCTGCCACCCGCCCTCCCTTCCTCCCTCCGAGTGAGACCGCGCCGCACCTGCGGTGCCAGCCACCTCACCTGCCACCTGCCCTACCTTCCTCCCTCCGAGTGAGACCGCGCCGCACCTGCGGTGCCAGCCACCTCACCTGCCACCCGCCCTCCCTTCCTCCCTCCGAGTGAGACCGCGCCGCACCTGCGGTGCCAGCCACCTCACCTGCCACCTGCCCTACCTTCCTCCCTCCGAGCGAGACCGCGCCGCACCTGCGATGCCAGCCACATCTGCCACAACGATGTAGGAGGACAGTTTGGACTTCAATTTCCCAAATCCCCAAATCGCCTGACATCTAACGCGACCAGCGCCAAACACAAACTCCGAGCCCCGGACGCCACCCGGCCGAGTGGGGCCAGGGCCACCGCCATCTGATCTCCGAGGGCACATCAATAACAGTGACGGCCACCCAGCTCCTCCGTGACCGCTGAAACCAACACAAACCGTCTAGTTATCCGCCCGAGAGCCCGAACCACCCACGGGCAAGCCGCACCCGCTGCGAACTCCCTCAGAGCTCGCGGCGGGCGCCAGCCCGGCCCGGCCCGGCCCAGCCCGGCCAGCGTCAGCGGCGGCACCGGCTCGCGCCCGCCGCACCGCCGGCTGCGAGCGCACTAGCAGCGTGTCTCGTGATGCAGGCCGGTGTCCTCGTCCTCGGGTACCGCGCTAAGCTGCGGTGAGTGTCCGCTAGACGCGGGGCGCTCGGAAGACGGCCCGGCCGTGGGCCACTCGCCCAGCAGGCGAGAGAGGTCCTCCAGCGACACCTCCAGGTTCTCCGACGGTCGCCGCAGCCGCCGCTGAATCAGCAGCTCCATCATCTGACGGCGCCGCGACCGGGTCAGCGACGAGGTCAGTTGTGGGATCAGCGGTAGGGTCGGCGGTGGGAGTCGGGGGCGGGGTCAGGGGCAGGAACCAATGATGGGATTAGCGGTAGGGTTAGCGGTGGGAGTCGGGGGCGGGGTCAGGGGCGGGGGTCAGCAGTGCGGTCAGCGCTGGGGACAGCAACAGCCAGGGGCGGGGTGAGGAGCGGGGTCATGGGCGAGGTCAGGAAAAGGATAGAGGCGGGGTTAGCGCTAATCAATCACTTTCTGCTTGGTCGTCAAGTGGTTGGTGATGAGATGAATCAGAAACGCAAGGTTCCAGACTGTAATAACTTGGCACGAACCTTGTGAACCCGAAATGGTTGTAGCATGGCAAGGCAGGCCACATGGTTGTTGGATTATGGCCCATGGTGGCCATAATTAACAACATAGTAATAACATAGTAATAAAGGTACGCAATAATTATCGCTCCGAAGAGCTCTGTCATGCATTAGACTTTGAAACACGCCTTCTGTAGACCTTTCAACCGTGCATCCAATAGAGCCTCATAGCCTCCGCATCTTTGAGCCTTTACCAGCCTCATACCGTATTGCCCTGGTTGCCTCTATCCCCCCCCCCCCCCCCCCCCCAACAGGTATCTGCTGTAGTGATTCCTGACAACAGTGGGCGCAGAAGCTGCTGCAGAGCACTCATGCAGCGGTGACCTGCAGTACTGCACGCCCCCCGGCCCGGCGGACGGCGGACCGTCACCGAGCCTCCCGCCGCGCGCCACCTCACCTGATAGTCACCGTCCTCGGCCGTTGTCAGATGATGCTGGGTGCCGGGCGAGCCCGGCCGCAGCGTCTGTTCGGAGGTCACCGCCACAGGGCCGAGCTCGACGCGACAGCGCGACTCCAGACTGTCGGTGATGCTGCGGTACTCGCCCAGCGGCAGGTCGAGCGTCGGCGAGCTCGGCGGCAGCACGTGGATTTCCGGCCGCGGCCAGACCGGCTCGGCGCCCGGCGGCGGCGCCGAGAGCGTGCGCCGCAGCGCTGGCGGCGTCGGCTCGCCGCCCTCCGCCGGCTCGGTGGCCGGCGGACCGGCGCTGACAGCGCCGGCGCCACTGGCGCTGCTGGCGCTGCTGGTGCTGCAGTTGCTGTCGCGGCGCGTCACGCGCGCGGCCTCGGACCGCGGGCGGCGGCGGACGCGGGCCCGTCTGGGAGAGCGCGATCCGCGCCAGCTCCCGCACCATGGTGCTCTGGTGGCCGTCGACTGTCTCGCGCTCGGCGCTGCCGCCGCGCTCGCTGCCGCTGGGGCCGAGAGCCTCGCTCCCGCCGCCGCTCGCACCGCCCTCACCGGCTGTGAAGCCGCCACCTGCACCGCTGCCGCCAGCGCCGCCTCCTCGGCCGCCGGCGCCGTCTGCGCCCCCTGCGCCGGGCGGCTGGTAGTCGTCGCTGCCGGAGCTGACCTGGCGCAGGCGGTCCAGACCCTCCATCTCGCTGCCGCCGAGGCCGGTGTGTTGGCGCAGCATGAGGTGGGTGTGCCGCGCCAGCCGTTCCACGCCTCCAAACATCTCCTCGAGCCGCTTCAGCCGGTAGTCGACCAGGCGTGTGGCCTCGACCTGCACGCGCTCACGCAGCAGTACGTCCTCCAGCCGCTGGTACGCCAGCTCCTGACGCTCCCAAGTCTGCTGCACCTGGGGCACGGCGCAGGGCAGTTAGGCGTCCGTCCGCGCACGGCCGGGGCTCCAACGGGAATACGCACCGATGATGTGACCAGCCCACCCAGGCAACGCCCCCCCCCCCCAAAAAAAAAAAAAAACACCACAGGCATGTCAGAAGCTGACGACAGACACGCTAAGGAGGCAAAGCACACCTGAATATTCACCTGGACATTCACGTTCACATCGCAGCCTCCCCCTCCCCTGACGACCATACGCCGATACAGATGTACCCCGTCTCCAACAATAGGCATGACAAGTGCGGGCAATGCAAATGTGCAATACAGTGGCATATTAACCGAACGTGTATTAGGGAATTATCCATAATGTTTATGGTTCACGTCTTTCCACAGTACCAAAAGAGACCAACAGCAACGACCTCACATTGGGCTGTCATTTTGCACCCTCGGGCATTTCCGATGACCACTGGCAGCTCTTACTCCACGCACCGCTTCCTGAGCTCAGCCTGGCCCCATACAAACCCCGCAGTGCGGGGCAGGAGCCTCTTACCAGCCGCTCCGTCTTGTGCTGGCTTTCGTGCTCCTTTTGGCGGAAGTACTCCTCGAGGCACTCTTCCTCGAAGTCGTGCACGTTTTCGAGCGCCTCTTCGTCAAGGAAGAGCTTCAGCCCCCGGTCGTAGCTGGCCGAGTCGCGACGGCACTGATTCAGGCACAGCTTCAGCAGCATGTACAGGTGCGAGAACACGATAAACGGCGGCGGGCAGACCGGCCTCAGTTCGTACTCCATCACCAGACGATAGCGCTGGAACATCCACACCTCGTGCGCCACCGCGTTCACGCCGGCGAAGATGTTGTTGAAGACGGCGATCATCAGGTTGAGCATGAGGATGTTGGCGACGAGCAGGTAGCCGGCCATGGCGACGACGGTGATCCAGAACTCACAGGCCTCCAAGCCGGGCCCGTCACCGCACTGCTCGGGCTCGATCTCCGGAGCGTACACCTCACCGTACAGCATGAAGTACGGCTGGTAAAACACATGGCGCAGCAGGTACCAGCTGGGCTCCGAGTTGGGGAAGCGAATGGACTGACGCAACACGCCGAAGGAGAAGAGGATGATGACCAGCAGGATGATAAAATGCAGCATCTTCACCAGCATCTTGCCCACCATGGTTACCATCGGGCCCAGATACTTCTCCACGCTGAAGATCTCGAACAGACGGATGTGCCTGTGGGGTGAGAGCACACTTCGTCTGGCCCGACCACGCAAGCAACCAGGCAAACAGCACGTGCAGCCCACAAGTGGGCCGGCATAGCACATACAGTGGACGACGCATTCGCACGCCGGCCGTGATTCACACCAGCCGGCAGTTCGGTCCTCGCACTCGCATTGTGAACTGTCGCAGCCTGGTCGAAAGCTACAAATGTCACAGATTTCAAGTCGATGGAAGCAGGCACAAATCACAGAGGGCACCAATAGCTGGCCTGCTGGAGGCGTTGGTCGGGGCGGCAGCGGGCGGCGACACGCACCAGTACATGTTGTTGCAGCAGATGATGGAGCGGCCCCAGCGGAAGGTGGACGGCTGAAACCGCAGAGGCTGGGCCAACAAGTACGTGACGATGAAAATGGCGTCGCAGATGTTCCAGAGCCGACCAAACCAGTGCCCCAGCTTCATGCTGTGGGCACCAGGAGAACATTGCTCATACACTGGCAGTCTGGGACACGTGCGTTCAAATGGTAAAGCCAGAAACAGGAATGAGGAGAGGCCACTGATACAAGCTGTCATCATAACTGCGGCCATTAAGAAGAATATCGACGATCGAAGTGACTGGGAGTCGATCTAAGCACCACTTAACCCAGCTGGGAGCATGATTTAAAAGTGGTCACTGACAAACGCTCATCATCATCACCCATACGCCTACTTCGCAAAAATCAGCAAATACCTTAAGGACAGTAAGCCACACATACATAGCCCAGGACAATGCTATTCAAAATTGGTGACTACCTTCTAAATGGTTATTAATGAAAAGCTATCCCCTGAATCAAGTTTTCAGCGAGTCCACTGGATGATTGCGTGCAACATTCTTGAAGATCTTTCATGTGTTTGTTGGCCTGTATGCTGTATAGGGTACCGAGAAGCCAGCTGGTAGCTAGTAGTAACCGTACAAGAGCAGGGAAACCAGCAAACGTTTCGACCAGACGCCCTCCTCGTCATACTGAAGAGCGCTGATCCCAAGATCTCACCAGAGATGCTCATCACTCTATATGATGTACTGGCCACAACCATCGGGAAGGCCAGCAATTCACCAACCAGCCACCGAGAGCCTGTTCAGGGAGCAGCCATACCAGTGTCACAGGTCCCCCGCCGTAAATATATAAGGGACACCTGCCACAGAACCAGCAAACTCTCAGAGAACTGTATCTGCGTCCATCCATCGGTTGACAATGACCTGTGGCTTACACGCGTCCGACATTGCCCGCGCCATGCATTGCTTTTTAGTGCGATATTTGTCATTGCTCAAATTTCTTAAGTAATTGGACATGATAGTACCTACAGTTTTTACCTTTCAGAATTTTCGAAACAGGCGATATCGGTGACCTGAGGTGAGGTCCGTTGCTGCTTTTTCGTAAGTAATGCAAATTTGTAAGAACTTTTGTGTAGTTTGGGTGTTTTCATGTGAGAAAAAGAGGTCTTACTCAACCGCACCAACTTAATTGACCACAGAGCACGTGACATTGGCCTAGGCCACGACCTACCCGTAAGGGTGCCTTCTGCAACACATGCCAAGCTCAAAATAAGCAGTTTTAATAGCTAATTCTGGGCGCAAAATTCGAATATTCCACTGAAAACATGCTGCAATATTCTAATACATCCTGAGGTCAGAGTAGGTCACGTGAGAACATTCCAGGTCATATGGGGTCATCCAAGGCCAATAACCTCTATTTTCAGTAGCGGAGAGGCTAGACGCAATGAGTGCGACGCGTGTAACCACCTGTACATCCTGTTTAGGAAGCCGATGACGGATAATTTCATGTACCAACGTGCCTGTTCTCAGTTTTACAAATGCATTCAGAGCGTCGAAAGAAGTATGCATTACGTATACATAAGATATGCGATGTTGAGTACTCTAGATGCACAACACATCATTTGTGGGCAGAAAAAAACAATCCTTGCACTGGTCACTAAACCCTGATTAGCACTTCAGCTTTCTTGCATCTGGATAGTTTGTGAATTTGACCTAAGTTAACCTCAGCTGACCTCTTAGGTCAGTATAAAATTTTGTGTCTGGGATACTTTTTCCCAGCCGCACCTACCAAAATAAATTCAGTCAAAAGCACATTGTGAAAAAAAACTTTCCTTTCGTGACCCCCGGTGACCTTAAATTCGACCATAGTTCAAAAATTTGGTGTGATTTGACGAGACCTACACGACGGTATCTTTGTTTAGCTTGCACGACGTCTGGAAGTTGGAGATTCCAGCTGGGAGTCGACTACCCCGGACGGGTGCGGTTGTCTCAGACCTGCGACACGACGCAGATTAAAAAGAACAGAATGCGTTCAGCTTTCATCGGCATATATTGCTTTCTTCGGCACATATGTGCCTGTTCTCAACGTCTGGTCTCTTCAAACCGATTCAGACTCACTTCTCCGGCGCCTCCCGCCTTGTAGGACGTGCCGGACATGGCGCCCGGCCCTCACTCTCCCACTCAGTGCTCTCTCACCACCCTCCTCCCGCCCTCGCACCACCCTACTCCCGCCCTCCCACCACCCCCTCCCACTCTCTCACCGCTTTCCTCCCACCCTCTCACTGCCCTCCTCCCGCCCTCTCACCACCCTCCTCCCGCCCTCTCGCCGGCCGCTTCACCTGAGTGTGACGGGCTCGGAGGCTAGGATCTCGCGGACCTTCTCGATGCCGACGGTCAGGAGGAAGGCGGTGACGTACACCTCCTCCCAGCGCGGCGTCGGGTACATTTTGACCAGAACCACGTACGTGTAGAGCGTCAGGAACACAACGTACGCCAGCTGCGGCGGAGGGACGGGCAGCTCAGGTGTGGACCGGGAGGCGAGCAACAGATCGTCATCACCACCGCAGTCTGTCGCATCGACCGCAGCAGGCAACAGGGCGCAACACCGTCCAATACTCTCAGATCCACAACCCTTCAGTCCAATGACAGACACCGGCCTGAGCAAGACAAGCACCGCATCACGCGCCCGTGGTGCCAATGACAAGCACGGCAGCGTGCAACCGTGGCGCGCGTGACGAGCACCGCATGGCGCGCCCGTGGCGCCCGTCACGAGCACCGCAGCGCGCAACCGTGGCGCCCGTCACGAGCAACGCAGCGCGCAACCGTGGCGCGCGTGACGAGCACCGCAGCGTGCGCCCGTGGTGCCCGTGATGGCCACCGCAGCGCGCGCCCGTGGCGCCCGTGACTGCAACGGCCCGGCAGTTCTCGCCGCGGCGACCGTCGCCCGATCCGGCAGCGTACAACGCTCACCGTGAAGCTCCAGAACTTGGCGATGGGCGCCGTGTAGAACTCGTAGATCTTCTTACGCAGGCCAAGCTGCCCGTTCTTACGTCCGTCAAGCAGGTCGGGCATGCCGGACGGCGTCGGCGGGTAGGCCGTGGCCTGCAGAGAGCCCTGGCGAGAGACCGAGACCCGGCGCGGCGACGGGCTGGAGACAGGGCCCTGCTAAGAAGGAGATCGTGACACAGAAATCTGACGCGGACAAGGGGTGGAGACGGGACCCTGCCAATACGGAGATGGTGGCACAGAGACCCGACGCGGACGTGGGCTGGAGAGACGGGGCCCTGTCGAGATCGAGATGGTGGCACAGAGACCCGACGCGGACATAGGCTGGAGAGACGGGGCCCTGTCGAGATCGAGATGGTGGCACAGAGACCCGACGCGGACATAGGCTGGAGAGACGGGGCCCTGTCGAGATCGAGATGGTGGCACAGAGACCCGACGCGAACATGGGCTGGAGAGACGGGGCCCTGTCGAGATCGAGATGGTGGCACAGAGACCCGACGTGGACGTGGGCTGGAGAGACGGGGCCCTGTCGAGATCGAGATGGTGGCACAGAGACCCGACGCGGACATAGGCTGGAGAGACGGGGCCCTGTCGAGATCGAGATGGTGGCACAGAGACCCGACGTGGACATGGGCTGGAGAGGCGGGGCCTGCCGGGACGGAGCTGGTGACACAGAACATGCACGGGGACAGGTCCTGGCGGCAGCGCAGCCGGCCAAGACCCACCCGGCATACCCGGCGCGGCGGTCGGACGGCGCACCTCATCGACGGTGGTCGGGTCCTCATCGTCCTCGTCCGAGCCGTCGTCCTCCTCCTCGCCCTGCTGCTCCATAAGGTGCTCCTCCTCGGTCTGTGGCATCTGGCGCAGCTCCTCCTGTGTCCGAAACTCCAGCTGCAGCATGGCCGGCGGGAAGAGCACTGACAGCAGCACCTGCAACATCACAGGGGGCTGCAAATGCGAGAGTGGCGCTCCTGGCGACCGCCTGCGGCTCTCAAACCCGATCACGACACAAACGAGAGTTCCTTGAGAAAGGCAGAAAGCCCTGAAACTGGCGCCGCCACTTGACCGACAATAACATCGCGCGCCCCAAGCTGACACCGCGCAGACCCCGCAGGGCGGCCGGGAGGGGACTTCGGTCCCGCTCCACCGCTGACCTCCGGCTGACCTTGAGATTGGTGTTGCGGCGCAGATTGAGACCACCCATCCAAAGCTCGGCTAGCAGCACCTGGCAGCTGGGGTGAGCCAGCAGCCGCTTGTGGTCGGCAGTCACCGCCAGGCTGAGGCAGGTCTGCCGACTCCAGTTCCGCAGCTCGTACGTCAGCAGCTGCTGCGCCACATCCTGGTTGTGCTGGTACACGAAATCCAGGACGTCCAGCGCTGCCGGCGGCGCACGGCGTGAGGTGTGGCGTCAGAGGTGGTGTGACGTCAGAGGCGGTATGATGACAAGGGCGGTGTGGCATCAGAGGTGGTGTGACGACAGAGACGGTATGACGACAGGGGCCGTGTGGCGTCGGAGACGGTAAGACGACAGGGGCGGTATGACGACAGAGGCGGTATAACGACAGGAGCGGTATGGCGTCAGAGGTGGTGTGACGACAGAGGCGGTATGACGACAGGGGCGGTATGACGACAGGGGCGGTATGGCGTCAGAGGTGGTGTGACGTCAGGGGCGGTATGACGACAGGGGCGGTATGGCGCCAGAAGTGGTGTGACGACAGAGGCGGTATGACGACAGGGGCCGTGTGGCGTCAGAGACGGGGCGGTCTGCCGACGGACCATTGTGCTTGGGCTACTGTCGCAAACAGAACCGATCACACAGAGCAGACGGCGACATCTGATGCTCCACGTAGCTCTCCCCCAAAATAAACTGATCGGCATGAGATGACCAACCAGATACAGGAGCAGACAGACACCAAGGCAGGGCACACGACAAACACCGGACCCGCGCAGCGCATACCGAGGTTCTCGAACTCGAGCGCGTGGCTCTTGAGGTCCTCAAAGAACTCCGTCTCCAGGTTATCCTCAGCCGCCTCGCAGGACAGCGCCTTGTACAGTTTGCAAGCGACCAGCGCCTTGGCGAGCGCCTCCTCGCCGTGCTGCCACATCAGCCTCGCCATCGTCTGTCGCTTCGTCAGCACGGCCCAGATCTGCGCGCGGCGGGGCGGTGAGAGCGGAGCAGAGCGGGGCGGGGCGGGGCGGGAACAGCGCGCAGTGGAGCGGCGCGGGACCATGTTCGGGGAGTGGGTGGAGATCACAGGACATCGGGGGATGCCCGGCAGGGTAGCACCAGGTGTCTGACAACAGCGCTGATGTCACCGAGACAAAGGGCGTGAGTTTGAGGCACAGCAATTTCTTTGCTTTTTTTTGTTTTCGCGGCACAGTCGGAGCGGCGCATAACAATGCCATAATCCGAACAGCTGCATGCACCCAGAAATGATCAACACATAACGCACACGACCAACTTACAGGCACAACAGTGCGGACGGTCCTCACGCACACAAAGAAAGCGTGTATGCCTCATCAGCCGGCATGCGCCGATGACGACACACCGCACGGGGCGCGCCACGGTGCGGCCCGCCCACGCCCGGCCCCCAAACCCGAAGGCCACTCACCATCAGCTCGCTGAAGGGGTACTCAAACGTGTCTTGCGGCCGCGCGCGGGCCGGCGAGGCGTCGGCCCGGTGGGCGCCGTTGACGGCCGGGCTGCTCATCTTGAGCGGCGCCGCCGCCGCCACGGCCGTGCCGGCACAGGCGGCGGCGCGCAGGAACGCGCTCGTGTTGCGCACGATCACGGGCGAGCGGAAGCGGAACGTCTCGTAGTACTGCGCGCGAAACTTGCGCCGCGAGTAGGTGCACCTGCGAGCGACCGGTCACCGGCTAGCAGGGAGCCGCTGCTTTTCAGCGATGAGTTGGGAAACTATTAACAACAATTAAACAGTTGTGACCTCGCTCAGTTTCCGGGAGATTGAAATTATTTCTTGGGACATTGCACCAAGTTCATCAGAGTGGGTGGTTCGGCGATAGGAAATAGTTGCTTACCGACAGCCAACCGAAGTGCCCTTCAACTCTAAAATATGCTGGCACCATTGAACAGGCTCAGCCTTAGCTGATTTGCACGTTTGGAGTAATCTTCGACGTCAAACTAACACAACGAACCAGCGGAATTTTCAGTGACGACCGAGACCACCTAAGTGCACTCCTTGTGTTGCGACCAACTCATTGCCTTTTGCATCAACAGCATCTTTGCATTTCTGTAAGAGTTCCAGCGGCTGCCAACTTACTGTAACCAGCACTCTCCGAAGATGCCGCGCCAACATCAGTGACACAAGCCCCCAAAACAGAAACGTTCGCAGAAGAACTAGTGGAACTTCACGTTTCCCCAAACCTCTCTCCAAAACGCGCTACATCTATCAAACGCGTTAATTCAGCCCGCGCCGAGACTTCAGCTCCTAAAGCCCCCCACATGAGGTCCACAGGCTGGCGGGCGTCGCCTGGCGGGGCGGCGCAGCCTGTCGCAGCGGCCCTGACCTGAACGCCCCGCCCATCAGGTGGATGATCACCAGTCAAAGCCCCTCACACAAGGTCCACAGGCTATCTGGCGTCGCCCGGCGGGGCGGCCCAGCCTGTCGCAGCGGCCCTGACCTGAACGCCCCGCCCATCAGGTGGATGATCACCAGTCAAAGCCCCTCACACAAGGTCCACAGGCTATCTGGCGTCGCCCGGCGGGGCGGCCCAGCCTGTCGCAGCGGCTCTGACCTGTACGCCCCGCCCATCAGGTGGTTGATCACCAGTCCTATGTCGATCAGCGTGTAGCGACCGCCACGCGACACTGTCTTCCCCACGTCCTTCACTATGTAATGCATCGAGTTGGCAGGGCCTTGCTTCTGGAAATGGGCAGCGGGCGGATCAATGCTGCTGCTGAGCGGACTGCAAGGAAACAGGTGTGGTGCACCACTGGCGCTCGTTTTTCGGCGGCAAGCACCTCACAAGTGCCAACAAATTTTCATGAAGGCGTTTTGACTAGCATAAAAAGAGACTGAAGAAAACAGACTGACCAGCGTGTGTTATGAAAGCACCAGAAGCGGGCTCAATTCGCAAAAAAACAAACAACAAAAACAGCACCATCAATCTTGAAACTCGACGCGGAAAGTGGTATTCCCGGACGGGGCTAGAATAGGAGGAAGACACGAGACGGCACGCTCCGCATACAAAAAGACAACCAGCAGCGACAGCGTGAGCAATGCGAAGAAACAAGCTGCCGACTCCCTGAATTCAGCAAAGCGAGGCTGGACGTGGCGATGGAGGGCCATCGCTCTCACCGCGTTATATAGCTCCTCCAGCCGGGTCATGGTGAGGAACTTGCTCATCATGACGCCGTTCTCCAGCAGCAGCTTGACGAAGTCGATCCGATCGTTGACGAGCGCGTCCATCATGGCCTGCTCCAGAGAGCCTGGGGATGACAGGAGTTCACTGTCACCACTGCATGGTCTCTCTCTCCTCCCCGCTTCTCTCTCTCTCTCTCTCTCTCTCTCTCTCTCTCTCTCTCTCTCTCTCTCTCTCTCTCTCTCTCTCTCTCTCTCTCTCTCTCTCCCTCTCCCTCTCCCTCTCCTCTCCCTCTCCCTCTCCCTCTCCCTCTCCCTCTCCCTCTCCCTCTCTCTCTCTCTCTCGCTCTCCCGCTCTCGTTCTTCCCCCTCTCTCCCGCTTTCTCTCCATTCCATTCCATTCCATCTGCTTTCTTTCTGTTGATTCCTTTTCTCAGTACAAGGCACCCACCACCCATGACCGTTGGGAAACATACTGGCTCTGACTAGGATTGACAAGGACTCATCAATTCGCCTAATCCCATCGGACACGCCACCAGCGGCAGTCGAACCACTTGGGTCCGAGCTCTATGATAAACGACCCCATTACTGGCGCGTGGCGCCACTAGATATCCGCTGGCCTAACGTCCGTGGGTCTGGAGGGCTGCCACACTGATGGCATATGACGCATTGGACTGCAGCCTGCCAGCCAGCATAAAATGAATGGCCCTGTGACATCGCGATGTCATCAAACTAAGTGCGAAATTTCCGTAAAACACGGTCTGGTCGGTACGTACGTAGTCTAACCGGACAGTGTCATCAACAACGGAAAACTAACGACGTTAGGTTCTGAAATTGCGTTCGGAAGGCTGCATATCATGCGGCGATATTGAAAAGGAAAGTGATGTCGGGGCGGACAGACCAGGTTGTCCGGCTCAGATGCTGTGCGCGCTCATCAGTCGTCTGGACTGTGTGTGATCAGCCATGCTCTGCGGCACCGTTCAACGGGGCTCTGAGGACTGTGTGTGATCAGCCATGCTCTGCGGCACCGTTCAACGGGGCTCTGAGGACTGTGTGTGATCAGCCATGCTCTGCGGCACCGTTCAACGGGGCTCCGAGGACTGTGTGTGATCAGAGCTCTGCAGCACCGTTCAACGGGGCTCTGAGGACTGTGTGTGATCAGCCATGCTCTGCGGCACCGTTCAACGGGGCTCTGAGGACTGTGTGTGATCAGCCATGCTCTGCAGCACCGTTCAACGGGGCTCTGAGGACTGTGTGTGATCAGCCATGCTCTGCGGCACCGTTCAACGGGGCTCTGAGGACGGTGTGTAATCAGCCATGCTCTGCAGCACCGTTCAACGGGGCTCTGAGGACTGTGTGTGATCAGCCATGCTCTGCGGCACCGTTCAACGGGGCTCTGAGGACTGTGTGTGATCAGCCATGCTCTGCGGCACCGTTCAACGGGGCTCCGAGGACTGTGTGTGATCAGCCATGCTCTGCAGCACCGTTCAACGGGGCTCCGAGGACGGTGTGTGATCAGCCATGCTCTGCAGCACCGTTCAACGGGGCTCCGAGGACTGTGTGTGATCAGCCATGCTCTGCGGCACCGTTCAACGGGGCTCTGAGGACTATGTGTGATCAGCCATGCTCTGCGGCACCGTTCAACGGGGCTCTGAGGACTGTGTGTGATCAGCCATGCTCTGCGGCACCGTTCAACGGGGCTCTGAGGACTGTGTGTGATCAGCCATGCTCTGCGGCACCGTTCAACGGGGCTCTGAGGACTGTGTGTGATCAGCCATGCTCTGCGGCACCGTTCAACGGGGCTGAGGACTGAGTGTGATCAGCCATGCTCTGCGGCACCGTTCAACGGGGCTGAGGACTGTGTGTGATCAGCCATGCTCTGCGGCACAGTTTAACGGGGCTCTGAGGACTGTGTGTGATCAGCCATGCTCTGCGGCACCGTTCAACGGGGCTCTGTCAAATGGTGATCGATATCTGACGGGAGCTCAACTGGACTGGCCGTTTGCGGAGACCGCAAGCGTTTTAACACGCCGGCTAGTGCCACTTTTGCATATACGTTCATGTCAACGCTTATTGGTAAAAATAGAAGCACAGAAGGAGGAAATCAGCACGGTAAATGACGTCACAAGTTTCTGTTAGTACACTGCGCCGGATATACCCCAGCGCGTGGAATTACTCAATTTCATCTCGGCTCGAGTCGATCACTTCAACAAAAACAATTCGTAGACTAAACGCGTCTTAAACATAAAACAGCATAAGTAGCAAGATCCCACTAAAACAACTAAGCGTCTGCTCAGCCGCAGGATGGTTCTCACATATTGCAGAGAGCACTGGCCGTCCGCCCGGCCGCCTGAATGACGCCACACGCCCCGGATGGCGCTCTCTCTCTCTCTCTCTCTCTCTCTCTCTCTCTCTCTCTCTCTCTCTCTCTCTCTCTCTCTCTCTCTCTCTCTCTCTCTCCCTCTCTCCCTCCTCCCTCCCTCCCTCCCTCCCTCCCTCCCTCCCTCCCTCCCTCCTCCTCTCCCTCCCTCCCTCCCTCCCTCCCTGTCGCCGTCGTGCTCTCACCCGGCGGCCACTCATGAGCGCCGGCGAACACCGTGGAGCGCGCGATGTCCACCCGGTTCCAGCTGAGTGCCAGGTTCAGCTGGTCAGTGGCGCACATGTGGTAGCCCTGAAGCAGCGCCTTCAGCATGGCCTCGTCCAGCTCCAGACCCTCCTGGTACCGGTACACGGTGATCTGTCGACAGGCGCCAGTACAGCGTACTGAGTCACGCTATACAGACAGCCGTCCGGCACAAGGGCACGGTACTGAAGTCAGAAACATCATGCACGGCACAGTCAAGCATTCATGGAGAACATGACATCCAGGGCAAAAACACACCTAGCAGCCCGCATTCAACGCACGGTATTCGTAAGGCTGACGTGTTCAACCATAAACAGCACCGACGAGGACAATACCATCTGCCCCGTTTATATCCCACATTGCCGGGAACTTGCATGATGAATGATATATGTCTCACGGTGTAGACATAAAGTAGACGCGATACAGCCCGATTATAGTCAAAGCAGGGAATACGGCGCAGCTATACAACAACACGCGTCATCCAATTACGTGTGTTCGGAGGGCCGGAGCGAGCCGTCGGCATGCAATACTCCGTCATTCCTCCACAAAACAGGCCACGGATCGCTCACGTCGGCGGTCAGCCGGCATTTCCGCCCGTCCCCACATGAGAAACGGCCTCAAAACAGCCAAAACACGGCACGAGTGTGGCGCTGTGGCCGCCCACTCAGCAGCCCGCGCCCGCATCGCGCCAGCGGCGGCCGGGGCGCGTCGGCCGCCGGCGGTCGGACGCACGGAACGCACGCTCGTCCGTGACCGGCCGGGTCAGCCGCGGCGAATCAGCAGCGCGAGACTCCGAGCCCGCCCGTCCGAACAGCCGGCGGCCGGCCCGAGACTTAGAAACAGAGACGAAAAGGTCAGTTGGAAGCCGAGGCGACTCCCCGGTCCCGGCCGGCGCCGCACGAGCGTCAGCTGGGTATTACTGTCCCCCAGCGCAGGTGGCCGGGGCTCAGCAGCTGCCAGGGTCGGGAGAGGGCCCGCGCCGGTGAGCGTGCCGTCGCCCTGCGACACTGAGCTCATGAGTCGAGAGCGGCGCCCTGGCACCCGGCCGCTGTGCTGCCATGGCGAACCGCCGGCCGCCTCCGAACCCCCTAACAGCACATTGAGCTCATGAGTCGAGAGCGGCGCCCTGGCACCCGGCCGCTGTGCTGCCATGGCGAGCCGCCGGCCGCCTCCGAACCCCCTAACAGCACACTGAGCTCATGAGTCGAGAGCGACGCCCTGGCACCCGGCCGCTGTGCTGCCATGGCGAGCCGCCGGCCGCCTCCGAACCCCCTAACAGCACATTGCTGACCTGTCACGCGTCGGCGCCGGGCAGACGAGCGCGGCAGAGCGACGTAAGCCCCAATGAGGGCGCGCCCGCCGCAAATGACGTTCTTCGGCTCCATCCGGACACGCCAAACACGAGCTCACCGGCGAGAGCTAGGCGAGAGGCGGCAGCCCAGACAAACAGCCGCCCATCTCCCGACAACGGCTGACCCCGTACCCGCGGCCGGCACCAGCACTGACACCGAAAACACCTGACACCTGGCTAACGAGCTCCACGAACGGTGGGGGCAGCGGTACCTTTATAAAAAAACGCGCTCCGACGCGCACCCACGCGTCAGGTAAACACCGGTACGCCAAACTGTTCACCGACGCCACAGCATACCCCATACATCACCCACCCCTCCCCTCCCTTACACACCACGTGGTTGCGTGCCGGCGCGGACTCTCATTCTCACCCAGGGACAGCGTGCGCAAGTGTGTCGTCGCGGCTCACCAGTTCGCGATGGCGGCAGCACTGCACCACTTCGGCCAGCAACTTCTCCGCCTGGTCGCGGCGCACGGTGAACGTCTGCTGCACCGTCAGCACCAGCTGCTCCCGCATCGGCGGCGTCTCCAGCAGCGCGGCGCCACCCGCGTCGCTGTGCATGTGCCTGCGGCGCGCGCGGCGGTCAGGGGACGGGAGCCGGGTGGGCCGGCAGGCGGCAGGTGCCCACGCTGACCACATGGGGCGGTGGGATGGAGCTGCTCCCGGCGGGATGGAGCTGCTCCCGACGGGATAGAGCTGCTCCCGGCGGGATGGAGCTACTCCCGGCGGGATGGAGCTGCTACCGGCGGGATGGAGCTGCTCCTAGCGGGATGGAGCTGCTAACGGCGGGATGGAGCTGCTCCCGGCGGGATGGAGCTGCTCCCGGCGGGATGGAGCTGCTCCCGGCGGGATGGAGCTGCTACCGGCGGGATGGAGCAGCTCCCGGCGGGATGGAGCTGCTACCGGCGGGATGGAGCTGCTACCGGCGGGATGGAGCTGCTCCCGGCGGGATGGAGCTGCTCCCGGCGGGATGGAGCTGCTCCCGGCGGGATGGAGCTGCTCCGAGCGGGATGGAGCTGCTCCCGGCGGGATGGAGCTGCTCCCGGCGGGATGGAGCTACTCCGCGCGGGATGGAGCTGCTCCCGGCGGGATGGAGCTGCTCCCGGCGGGATGGAGCTGCTCCCGGCGGGATGGAGCTGCTCCTAGCGGGATGGAGCTGCTCCCGGCGGGATGAATCTGCTCCCAGCGGGATGGAGCTGCTCCTAGCGGGATGGAGCTGCTCCCGGCGGGATGGGGCTGCTCCTAGCGGGATGGAGCTGCTCCCGGCGGGATGGAGCTGCTACCGGCGGGATGGGGCTGCTCCCGGCGGGATGGGGCTGCTCCCGGCGGGATGGAGCTGCTCCCGGCGGGATGGAGCTGCTCCCGGCGGGATGGAGCTGCTCCCGGCGGGATGGAGCTGCTCCCGGCGGGATGGAGCTGCTCCTAGCGGGATGGAGCTGCTCCCGGCGGGATGAATCTGCTCCCAGCGGGATGGAGCTGCTCCTAGCGGGATGGAGCTGCTCCCGGCGGGATGGGGCTGCTCCTAGCGGGATGGAGCTGCTCCCGGCGGGATGGAGCTGCTCCCGGCTAGCGCAATCTGACCAGTGCCAGAACAAAGCATTTACGAACGAGACAGCGCCAACGAAACAGACAGTCACATGGCATTCACACAGCAACAAGTTTAAGATATCCTTCCCCGAAGCACGCAGGCAGCCATGGATTCAGTCACCGTGTTCTTCCAGGTGATGGGACCCCGCTAAAGATAACCTTCACCAACCTTCGAATTCCCCCAGGCTTCCAACGCTTCCCGTCAGGCGCTAGGGAGAGGTCCTTAGGCTTGGGGACGTGACTCGCCCTGCGCCCCCCTGGGCACGCCCCTGCACAGCGCCGCTCACTTGTGGACGAAGGCAACGATGTCGGAGGCGCGGCCGGTGCCATCGCAGACGACAACCGGCACCGGCGGCGTGTCCGTGACGTACTCCAAGATGGCGCGGATGGTGTTGGTGCCGCCCTCGATCACCACACACACCAACGGGATGCCCTGGCCCAGGCCTGGTGCAGACGGAGCGCCGCCGGGTCACTACACACCAGCGGGATGCCCTGGCCCAGGCCTGATGCAGACGGCCGGGTCACCACACACACCAGGTGTGCACTGTTCGGGATCTCGGCACGGGTGCTGACACTACCCTTCATCCGATATTACCACAGGTCCTAGTATGGCAAAATAGAGCTATGAACTCACAGGCTTTGGCATAATAAGGCAAAGTGGGGTCTGAGTGCTAACGTGGCTAACATTAAAAGGAGTTCATGAGTGCTATTTCGTATCTCAGACCTAGAACGAAGAAAACTTTCCCACAGACGAATTGTCAGACAAAAAACGACACCGCGGAAACAAAAATAGAAACACGGAACGGAAAACGCGGTACTGAAGCAGCCAGAAGGGTTGCCAATTCTAAGTTCGGAAAGGCCACGTCTGCTTTTCGGCCGACGACGGTTTAGGAGGGAGATCAGCCAGCAGCCAGGCTCAGCCGCAGAGGTGACGCTCAGTCACAGCTTTTTGTTGGCAAGCGGGGGTGAAGTTTCCAAGCGGAAAAAGTCAAGAGGCAAATATGATCGCAGCAGGACGATATGCGCACGACACGCGATCTTCACCCGAACAGTGCGACACGTAACACGGCAAATAATGAAACACAAGGCCACATACGTATGTGGCCTTGGCAACATTATCCTCTATTTGAACGGTGTCCAGTTACCATAATACTGATCTTCATTTACATATATCGGTTAATGTTCTGAAAGTGAGCATTTTGTCCATGAGCGAACGATTGGACCGGAGAAAATGGCACGTGTGCTCGCGGCACCGCCCGTGCGTCTGACTTCAGTTAGTCACCGGAACATTCAGCCTGGATTAATAAGACAAGACGTTCAGTCCATAAGCGAACGAAGCTTTGGCTCCAGCCGGCAGGCTCGCTCGTTATATTTCCAGGGACGCTATATGTCCAGGGACGTTATATGTCCAAGGACTTTATACGCTCCAGGGACGCTATATGTCCAGGGACGCTTCGTCACTTGTTAATATCGCAAGTCGCATGTTTAAGCCAACCATACGTATCGGTAAGCGCAGGGCGGTTCAAAGACATACGGACCCACTCCTGAAAGCAATTCCGTAACATAAGTGGTGCAACATCGACCACCTCATATTTTACGACAAAGAGCATATACAGCTTTCGAATGACGTTATCTTATGAACCAAAATACTTGAAATGAAGTCTTCGGCGGAAGCTAAATTAATTCTAAAGGTGGAAACATGACATTTGGGGGCGTGTTATATGCATGACATTTGCCTTGGCACTGATTATGTAATCGTTCTGCACGATTCCGCACCGGCGCGTCTCGCTGAAAGTTAATCATGGCGAAACGAGACCACAGACGGACGGCGCTCCGCGGCCGGGGCAGCTGCCGACGGAAATATCCCGACCCAAGACGGACCCGGCTCTGGCAGCGGCTAGCCGCGCACGTCCGGAAAACCAATCCTGGGCGTGTTTGCTCGTCCTAGCAGAGGGGGGGGGGGGAGGGGGGACCAGCCGTTCGCCTCAGCTGATGACACGCAATCAAATGACCAATCCAACAAAAGCAATCAAGAGCGACTCGTTTGACACAACCTTGACGAAAGTGACGTAGGTTCAACCCCGCGCCACGGGCTGCTTCGCCTGCCATTCCTTCCAATCACGCTTCTGGCCATCCGTCGTCTCCAAACGCAGGTTGGCCCGCCCGAGGTCGGCTGGCCCCTGAGCCGGCGAGGATGGCGACCTCGCGCAGCCCCGGCGCCGTGTCCGCTGGCCGGCCGGTGCCGAGCCGCTGCGCCCGCCGGTCTGGCCGGACAGGCACGGTGCCGCGTCCGCGCGGCCGCTATGGTAAAGGCAAGCTGACGCACCGACTCGTGAAAAGACACTCGGCGGGTCCGTCTCATGCGACGGCCGGCCGAGCCGAGCGGCGTCACGATCAAAGCGGCGTGACATCCCGACCACGGGCTGGAGCTATTGCGGGCACGTCAGGGCTGACCACCGCCGGCTGGCTATTGCGGCTGTCGTCGGGTCACTGAACCCCACCGCTGCAGCTCCTGATCTCGGCGGGTCACTGAGCCCGACCGCTGCAGCTCCTGATACCGACGGGTCACTGAGCCTGACCGCTGCAGCTCCTGATCTCGGCGGGTCACTGAGCCCGACCGCTGCAGCTCCTGATCTCGGCGGGTCACTGAGCCCGACCGCTGCAGCTCCCGATACAGATGGGTCACTGAGCCCGATCGCTGCCGCGCCAGATTCCGACGGGTCGCTGAGCCTGACCAATGCCGCTCCTGATTCCGACGGGTCACTGAGCCCGACCGCTGCCGCTCCTGATCTCGACGGGTTACTGAGCCTGACCGCTGCCGCTCCTGATCCCGACGGGTCACTGAGCCCGACCGCTGTCGCTCTTGATCTCGACGGGTTGCTGAGCCCGACCGCTGCCGCTCCTGATCCCGACGGGTCACTGAGCCTGACCGCTGCCGCTCCTGATCTCGACGGGTCACTGAGCCTGACCGCTGCCGCTCCTGATCCCAACGGGTCACTGAGCCTGACCGCTGCCGCTCCTGATCTCGACGGGTCACTGAGCCTGACCGCTGCCGCGGCAGATTCCGACGCCTACAGGTCACAAACTCCGTCCGGGGCCGTATTTTAGTCGTAAATTACCGAACTTGTAAATCAGACTGGGAACCCATCGCCATCGCTTGAACTGCCTGGAAAATATAAAACCCACATGTTTCTGTCTCAGCGGAACTCCTGGAACGACATGATGGTAGTTAATTCAAAATAATTCAAGCAATATGACAAAGGCCAAATTACGATAAATAAAAAATCAAATCGAGCAAGCCCATGCCTATGTGTCAAACAACATACAATATGGGCTTCGACTGTCTCCGCAAGCTGGCCTCGCCGATTTGAGGCCGCACTTTCCGCCTAACTGTAAAGTCGTGAGCCAGAAGTCCGATAAATACATGAAGTGCCGTTACCAGAGTTGTACCTAAGTCCGCTACAGCAAAAAACGACCCTGGCTCCGGCCCAAAACGCACGGAGGCTGATTCGGACCACACCACAGCATAACTTTGAGCCGAGTTCGACTCCAACTCGAAGGGGCCACGGCCCAAATCCGCGTCCGATTCCAGCGGAGTCAATTCGGGTGGCAACAGCCGAGGAGACAACGTTCATGAACGCCGGTATACAACAGTTATGTTGATAATATGACAGCAACAGGGTGCCAAGTGTTCCATTTGCTGTAGTATAATCGTGAGGGTTGTCAGAATAAGAACACCTTCCGCTGCTTTGATATCTGTTGGAATCGACTCATGAACAGTTCCAGCCATAACTAATGACTAAACACTGATTCTAGTTTTGTGCAATTTGTCCAAGATATCGATCGAGCAAACGAGCTCGTATTGCCTGTTCCCATGTTCGGGCTTCCTGGACTAGCCGTTCGCAGCTTCCTGGACTATTCACAGCGAGCCCACCGACAGGACACCAAGGATACCACAGGGAGATACGAACAGTACAGCATGACTTACACAGCGCCATCCGGTGGGCTCAGCGACACACTACACAGAGTGCTCCAAACATCCCAGCTCTCGGCTAAGGGATGTGACGGACCAGGGCTTGAGCAACCCAATTCACTTGTTTAATTCAACGCCCTCAACTTCGAAGCCATCTCTAGCGACATGACGCCACACGCCAGAAAGTCAGCCAACGAGTCACCCTCGTGGAAAAAGCGCGAAACTACTGTTCGCAAGCGGCAAAGCATTCCAGAAAGTCTGGCCCTGCGCGGTCCTCAGGAAGTTCGCTCCGCCCAAGCCATGCCAGTACGCCGCGCTGCCGATCTTCAAACGGAGCTCGCTGCAAAGTCGGACCGCTGGCGGGCGCCATCAATGCAGCCAGTTGGTGGAGAATCAATTTCCCCGCCATCGCTGAATACCATCAGTCACGGACGGCACTTCATAGCTCGATGCCATCCCTCGGTATACAGGAATACAGGAATCATGGCGCCTCACCGGCCCCTGGGCGGCATCTTCCCTGAGGCGTGTGTTACGACCGCGAGTTCGACTCCGCCCCCAGTGGCAGGAGATACTGAAGGCGAGCACCGATCGCGCCTGGCTCGACTCCGCCCCCAGTGGCAGGAGATACTGAAGGCGAGCACCGATCGCGTCCGGCTCGACTCCGCCCCGAGTGGCGGGAGGTACTGAAGGCGAGCACCGATCGCGCCCGGCTCGACGCTACCCCGAGTGGCGGGAGGTACTGGAGGCGAGCACCGATCGCGTCCGGCTCGACTCCGCCCCGAGTGGCGGGAGGTACTGGAGGCGAGCACCGATCGCGCCCGGCTCGACTCCGCCCCGAGTGGCGGGAGGTACTGAAGGCGAGCACCGATCGCGCCCGGCTCGACTCCGCCCCGAGTGGCGGGCAGCGCTGGAGGCGAACACCGATCACGCCCGGCTCGGCGCCGGCGTTCCCGACGACGCCGTGGCATCGCTCGCCGGAGAGCAGCGACGCGGACGGGAGTCGGCAGACCAGAGGAGGCTCCAGCCTGACGGGCGCCACCCACGTGGACGGACATCGGCAGGCCAGAGGAGGCTCCAGCCTGACGGGCGCCACCCACGCGGACGGACATCGGCAGGCCAGAGGAGGCTCCAGCCTGACGGGCGCCACCCACGCGGACGGGCATCGGCAGACCGGACGGGAGTCGGCAGACCGAGGAAGCGAAACTGCTTCTGGGTCAGATTACAGCGCTCCGACAGCACTGACAAGGTCGATTCAACGTAACTCACTCGCTAGGAAGAGCACGCGGGTAAGAACGGAGAGACTGGTAGGTCTCGCTCAACCTGCACGGACGTGGCATGCCGCGTGGCAAGTGAGTTCGAGGGCATACGGGCATGCATAACTCCGACCGATTTTAAATGTTACACGGTTACTCAAATCCGTTTTACTGCCTACGAACACCGGGGGTTATCCAACCAGCAAACACTTCTCAAA